ATGTATGTATGTATGTATGTATGTATGTATGTATGTATGTATGTATGCATGCATGTGTGTGTATGTATGTATGTATGTATGTATGTATGTATGTATGTTTGTGTGTTTATGTATGATGTTTTTATTTGTATTTATGTGTGTATGCATGTATGTATATGAATGTAATGTGATGTAATGTAACGTAATGTAACGTAACGTAACGTACATATGTATGTATGCTGTTCCTTTTTTTGGATGTTTTATTTGTGCTTAGTTCTGGCTTCCCTTGGGTGATAGGCGTCCAACAAATCGTCCTAGACCAGTCGCGTTGCTTTACTTGCAGCAAGCGCAGATGAGTTGCTAGCTGCTAGCTACAATGGTTCATCATCAAGTCCTAGAGATTTCGGGGGTCTTCAGGAGTATCAACAACTTCTAGACCATTCTGGACGGTGTTTGGCTTCAGCATGTTGGGATTTTACTAGGGGCTCCTGGGCTTACTAATTACTAGGAGCAAGGACGCTACTAGGGGCTGGCATCGCTACTACGAGCAGGAAAAGCCAGTTATTTGTTTCAGCATCAGATTCGACCGTCCAACGCCCGTGCGCGGATTGTTTGGCTTCGTGCGCCGCAGTCGCAGTCGCAGTCGCAGTCAGAGAGTTCGACTCAGTGAGCGGAACGGTTCGACCCAGTGCAAAGGTGCACATTCAAAGAAGAGACCGGGCGTGGGTTTGTATGAAGAGATCTCCAAACAGTGGATGTTCAATGTGTTTTTGATATTCCCAGAGGTCGAACTGAGGGGGTTCTCTATTCTATCCTAGGGGTCCAAGTACCTTATCAGAAGATATCAGAAGGTGATTGGAGACACTGTTATGTACGTTTGGAGGTACACAATCGCATGCATTTCGTGTCTTTGTGTAGTTTTATATATGTGTTCACGCATGAAAAGATTCTCACGGATGGCTTCGGCTCCGTAGTGGCGCTTCGGCTCACGTAAAATTGATCTCAAGATTCTCGGTGATACATATCTTCTTTGTGGACAATATTGTAAAGGTCCAGACCAAAGCAACATTTAACATACCTGCAACCTCGTTGTTCCTTTTTTTCTGGTAGTTCAACAATAATTACCGCACGCAGATAAAGACCATAAACACTCTGAGGAAGTTCCAGGTATATGCATCATATAAAATATATGGACCCCATTCTGATGCCTTTCATGGTTTTTTCTATGTGTTTTCTTCCTGTTGGCTCTTTTCTGCACCGAGGACGGATCCGTTTTCTGCTTCACTTCCGGTCCGACACGTCCCACCGGACCCCGGGTCGATGAGTCCGGGTCCATGTCGGGTCCCACTCTCCGGGCGCGGCGGTCGTCGCCGTGGGCCTGGGCAGGTCCAGCAGGTGTCTCTCAAAGAGACACCGGGGGGGTTGTGAAAGAGAAAAAGGTGGCGTTGGTCCGCAGATCGGGTTGGAAGCACTGTACTTGTGTTGTCAGAAGTCAAGAAAGAAGGCCTTCTGCATTGAGAGTCTTGGAGAAATCTTCCTGGTTTGATGTTTTCGGTTGTTTTTGGTGTGAGCGGTATCACTGTGTATATGGATATATTGTATGGACCATGTATGGATATGCATGGATTAGATTTGCAGATTCTGTACATGATCTGGTGGTAAACAGTGCCAGTTCTTCATGTACCAGCTGGAGAAGCTGGCCCTCGCCCATAAAAAAAACAAGTCAGTGCAAGTGCAAGTAAGAGGCAAAACATGACCAAAGATTCCGAACAAGTTCCTGAACAATGGCTGCACTGAGGGATTGCAAAGGGTGATCTTCACACACTAAGTCACGAAGGTGATATAATATATAATACAATGTTATATATATATATGTCAGAGCACCCACCACCCCATCGTACCATCTACCCCTGTCACACCACTTCGATGCATCTCGCCTCGCACTGGTGCGCCTTTTGGTTCGCCGAGGCCGACACTCTTCCCCAAGCTCGTGGCCGCCTCGTCGCGACAGGCGTTCCCTGCACGACAGTCCCGCGCTCGCTCTCGTCCATCCATTCGGAGCCTAAGGCTTCGGTGTCGAACCTATGGTTTCAGAGTCGATGGCACCAACACCAAGTTGGGTGGTATATATATTCCCTAGGGCTCCAAGGGCCTTCTGAGAAGGTGTTTGGGGTGGGTGCCAGGAGGGTCCAAATACCTTTCTGAGGAGGTACTTGGAGCCCTAGGGATTATTGTAGTGAATCCCCATCCAAAAGACATCTTGGGGTTTGCAACCACACCGTCATAATAGCTCCGAAAAAGAGGGGTATCCATGAAGCACCCTGACCCGGGGTATACCCGGTGGGCTGCGGTATACCCGGATGGATGTTTGATTGTCCGTCCCGGTTCTAGGGAGTGAAATCCTGCGTTTTCTCGAAAAAAAGTGGCTTGATGATGCTTGATGTGTTCTTTCATCCCGGCTTCCCAGCCAAATCCGAAGTACACCAGCACCCCGCCTCCGGGGCCTCCGGGTGACCACTAAGAGAGATCGTCGTCCAGATCCGCCAGGGTCGAACCATGCCCTGGGAGGGTCGGCAGGGAGGTAGGTGGCTGGGCCAGCTGGTCCGTGTGAGGAGTTCTTGTCCAAAGATGCACGGCAGGGTATTAGTTCAAGGTATTGGTATACATTCTTTCTGTGGTTATAGAGTATGATTTATTTCTACAGGAATGCAGTCTGACCCAGGTCCAAGCCCAGGTCCAGTCCAAACCTCATTGAGTAGTGTTTTGGTATGACCAACTCCAGTAGAAGGAGTCAACCTGTAGAGTATCCGAGCTCGGGCTGTCCGGCAGTCGGACCCGACTTTCAGGGGGAAGCTCGGCCGAAGCAAACCCTATCTGTTCGTTCGGGCCCGGATTCGTTGGGGATACATGAGACCATTTATATATACCCTCCGACCCTCCGACCCGACCGGGGGTGTCCTGGCGCTGAAAACTACACAAAAAACGACCGACCTTTTTTTAGGCTTCCAGACAGGGCGCCCCACCGACGGGCCGTCTCCCCACCCGACCCCACCCCAATCGATGACAATGTTGAGAATGTTGTGACATCGATGACCATGTTGACGATCCCTCCAAGACGTATGTGTCTTCTGCGTGTCGTAATTCCACTGTGATTCAGCGAAAACGGGAAAACAACGTGCGCAACAGGGGCGCACCCCTACCGCACATAAATGTCCTTGTTGAGCACCACAATGGCGTGTATATATAGTATCATGCGAGTATACACAGCGGCCAAATGAATTTGGGTCTTAAACAAACCCGTTTGCACATATACACATCAACATTTTTTTTTTTAATACATGATGCATCATCACCCGATCACAAGTGTGTGGCATGATTTCTTGTGCTGTTGGGAAAAGGAACTGTGTATGTTGCTTTACCCACATGGAATCGTTTTGAACACATCGAGTGGACCAGTGGACCAGGGCTACATTCGGCCGAAATAGGCTGAATGTTATTCTGAAAGGGTTTGAAGATATCAAAGATCCCAGGTGCTTCTTTCAGTTTTCAGCAAACTAGTCAGGGTCTTTTCTTTGGCTTATACAAGTCCTTCAGCTAGCACGATCTTCGATTGGTGTTTGTTGCATCTGAGTCAAGTCACTCACTGATCTAGTTCCATGTGTGCCGCTGCACTGCTACCTTACTTCTGCTTGCGTCAACGTAGCTGCATCAGTCTCGTCCTCTCCACGTCAAGACTGATTCCAGTGGGTCAGGTTTTTAATTGTTACACATATTGTTTTATGTATAAACAAAAAAATGTTGTGCTTGAAAGCATCCCTTTTCGGGAAGGTAGGCCGGTAGGCATGAATGCAAAGCAGGAGTGGGATCACTCACTTGTGTCACTTTGCAGCCTTCCAAGCCAGGGCCAATTGGGATTCAATGGGGTTGATTCATTGAATCCAAGGTGTTTTTGTCCTGGCATACTGCATTTGGACTATGCTCTATGAGAGTGACGGACGCATTACGACGGAGAGCGCGTGCCCCTCGTGCCCATCTCGAAGCTTGAGCCATGGTCATTTGGGTATCGATGTGGGTTCATTCCACGAAGGAATTCCTGCATTCTTCCAACATGCAAGTTGGACGACTGGTTTTCCCTCTGCAGAAACATCCCTCCATTCCAAAAACACCACGGTGTGTGGGGGGGGTTGGGTCCTGTTTGGTCCCGGGCTCCAGGAGGGCGTTGAAGGAGCTGGCTCCGTTGGCTCCCTGGGGCTGTATCGAGCTCCTCGGACCTATCGAGCAGCGTGGAGGGGTGGCTGTGGGCAGAGCGTTTGGGATTGGGTGGACTATGGGATTGGAACAGTTGTATACATACCCCTAGGGCTGCAGTCGTACCTTCTAAGAAGGTGGGACTGGGGTGGGTTTAGAGGGTCCAAATGTGCTTGGAGCTCTAGGGTACATTTATTATTGATCCCAATGTAGATTTCCTTCGCTTTTGGGTGCGGCAGACCTGTCATTTCGGGGAAATGGGATGCTTCTAGGCTTGGCGCGGATAGAGTTCGCAGCTCTTCAACAAAAACAAGTTCAGCACGTGAGCAATCGCATCGACAGCGATGTTGCTGTCACGGTCAGATCCAAAGAAAAACACCGTCGATCATGGTTTGCTATGTTTGCTCCAGAGAGTTTGAAAGAGGCACCCTGTCCTGAACTGAAATGGCCATTTCCGGCGACAAACCGTCGCCATCCTCCATCTTACACAGGAAAAAGATGGACAAAGTGTCTTCACCTGCACAACCTGTGTGTTTTGTTCGGGAGAAAGTGGTGAACCGCCGCTCAAAATCCGAAAGTTTGGTGCACGGGCCCGGGTCACCTTTAATTTGTTCAATACAGCTCGGGGGAAACGGTCAATCTGCCAGACAGCTCGGGGCTCATTGGCCGGAGCGTCGCTGCCGCCGGCGTGCGCACGCGGAGTAGTCGCGGTCCGTCCCTTGTAGGGTCGCCAGACTTGAGGAGTAGTTGGACGATCAATGCCGATCATGTGGAAGATGAGTTGGCAAATGAGGAAGTCAGAATCTGGTGGCGTGGTGAGATCTGAATTCTTACCTGGAATACTTAGCAATTGAGTATCGTGATGCTGATTCCTTCTAATATACCAGAAATCCATGACATGATATTCCGCCAATCCAGTCGACGGTGGCTGACGGTGACCTTCCTCTGCCCAGGACAGCTTTCGGCTGCTGTGGATGGGGCAGGAAATCACCATGGACCTGCTGCGGGCGCTCCCGGTCGAAGATCACATGGACGGCCACGCAGGGAGCGACATGTGTCATTTTATCCCAAAACTCACGCACTCCTCCAAGGGCCTCATTTATCCAACCCCTCACGCGAAACAGAGACACCTCCACTCCTGTGAGACTGCGGGAGGTATGGCTGCCCATGTTTGATGTGCTTTGCAGTGTGTTTCAATAAGTTCAGTGCATCTCCCTTACCCAAGTAGAGCACAGGATGGATGGGCAAGATCCTACTCCACCCAGAAACAATCTTCATTGTGATGTGCAGTGGACCACGGTGCCGGATAAATTCCTATAGCATCCTATAGCCAATAGTAGGTAGCGTCCGGGGCAGAGGAAGAAAACTTGACTTGGGGTGTGGAATATTGAAGTTGTTTGTCGCAGATGTTTCTTGGCTATAGGTACTGAAGCCTCTGCTTGTCAAACGTGTTGCAAGCACTGTGCAGAGATTGCCGCAAAACCTATGAGCCACATTGATCAGTGGAGACTCGAGTGCATCATGTCCTTAGAATGCGGTCACGCGCCTCCACAATCTTGGGCAGATCACCTGTAACAAGTCTCTTTTTGGGAAATGTCCGAATTTGCTTGCGCGTTGGGTGACCAGTTGGGCGTCCTCAGTGCGTCAGCTTCGGCGGTCGCGTTGTGCCTGGGAAAGTAGCACCAAGCCCCCGGGTCAACGCACCAAACACCAAAGCACGAAAAAGCACTCCAAAGCCTTCAGAGGAGTTCGCTGAAGCAAAGACCTATATTTCAAGGGGGCCCGGGGACCCCCAGACGATCCAGGAACATGAAGGGTGAGTGTGTAGTAGTTGCCTTGCGCCCCAAACACGTGCCATATTCTACCACACCATCAATGTCACAACATGAAAGATGCGCTATGTGCTGCGGGTGGTGCCCGGTCCCAGCAAGTGCATGAAATATCTGTCACTTTGATTCACTTTGCTATTATATTTTGAAGTATAGCTTGCGTGAAACAGTCTTTGTTCAACAAGAGTTCTGCAACCCTGTCAGACTCCAGGGTGAGGCTGCTCATGTTTCCTGTGCCAGTACGCTCATGTTTCTCCGATGCCCACACATTGGAAGATATAAAGCACGAGGAACGATTCTTGTGACGCGCAGTGCTGGAGAAATTCAGCTGTCAATCGAAGGATGGACCTAGGGCCACCCACCTAGCCTATAAAAATGTTTGGTAATGTCTGGGGAGGGGAAGCTTTGATTTGGTGTGTACAAGAGAATTCTACTTTTCGGCTGGTCTTTGGAAAAGGAGACTCAACCGAACCGAGATGAAGAGTGCTTACAGGCTCAACAGGACCTGCGCCGGGTGCCGTGACGCTGAGGCCCTTGGAGCGTCCACAAGTGGTGCGGGTGGTCGCGGAGGGAGGTGCGGCCCTAGAGCGATTTGGTGTGTACATTTGGCAATTTTGATGCGCAAATTGCCAGCGTGTTTGCACACAGGATGTTGAAACGAAAAACCTGGGATAAGAAGACAACAGTTTGTGCATCACTGGGGGGACACGCGAACATTTAAATTCAAGAGGCTGGTTGGCGCGTATTTTTTTGTTTGGCACAGCAGTGCAATTTTTTTTCTGATACCGTACACCCTTCAATTGCCGGGTGTCGCTGAACCTGTTCATCCGCCCCTGCCAGATTCCCCGACATTCTGCAGACCACCGTGGCCATACGGACGCGCAACTCGCACGCCTGGAGTGAAGTACCTCAAGGCGCGCCACAATCAGCGAATCGTGGCAGGGCTCTTTCCAGAGCGCGCTGGCCTTTCAATGCAGGACATCCCGTGGGCAAAGCCAAGCTTCAGGCAGGAACTGAAGCCTAGGCCCTCTGAGAAGAGCGGTTTTTGGCCGCAGAGTTCACTTCAGCAGCAGGCCAGCGAGAGTTGGGATGGTTTTTTGCTCGATGTTAGAGGTATAGTACTTGTACCAGACGGGGCCGGTTCTCACTGCCGTGAATTACATAATTAATTTTATGTTTCCAGCGACGGATGGTTGCAAGTTTGCCCATGTTTGAGGCAACCCTCAAACAGCCGCAGCAGGAGGTGAGCAGCGGTTCAACCGCGTCCCTGTTGCCTACAGGTGGGCAAACCGCACAGGAAGTGAGCAGCAGTCCAACAATGATTCCGCCAAAAGCCCGCCATCAATGGAAAATTGGACCTGCCAGCAACGGTGTGCGCCGCCATGAGCCATGAACGGTATGACAGCGCCAGCAGGCAGCCCCGTGGTGTGGCGGCCGCACGCCGCATTACTGCGCTTACCATTTTGTGTGGAATATGGTGTCCGCTCGGAGTTTTGGTTTGTTGCTTTTGTACCACTGAACGGTTCGATTGAAGGAAAGGTCCACAATCGTGGCGCGAAGAAGAACGAGTTCCAAAGAGCTTTTAACATTTGCGCGCAAACTTTACGTTCATCACTGAGTGGTTTTAGAACATTGGACTTTATTGTTCTCGAAAAATGGTGCTGGAAGATCATAATCTTGGAAATTGCTTCAACCCAGCTTCGTCAAGAGCTTGGATAAAACATTGAACAAACAAAACAATTTAAAAGCATCAGAATAGATAATACTATCGTTTAGGCCTGAGCAGGTGACGAACAATGACTTAGAAATTTAACACGCAGCAGGATTTTCAGACAAAAATGTAAACACAGCAGAAACAATGAAACATTGCCATCTCACAAGGACTGCATGCAAATCAATAATTATTGTATATATGAATAGTGAATGGTCGTTTTTCAAAGAGAGGTGTTCTGGCTGTTTCTGTTTGAGATGTTTCGCAAAAATCGGATCCGGGCTTCGGCGCACAATAGCGCGCACTCCGGCTTGGGCGCATATTGCGGTTTGCGCGCTTCCAGTCGCTCGCCAGATGTGCAATGTGAGAGTTTAGGGACTGGCGTGAGTGGAACACAGTGTCAACCAACACAGGTTGAAGGACCCTATAGACTATCCCATAGGCACCCCAGTAGGTTCTTATAAGGTCACTTAACCTCTCTAGGAAGGCGGATCTTGCTCTTCCGGAGCAAGGCCTTCACAAAATTACTCTGTCACCGGAGCTCCTGCGCATGACATGAAAACAACATTTTTTCAAGCAAAGCCACTCGTTTGGCTGCTTTGATGCTTGCCAGAGGATGGAGTCATGGGGTACACTTTCCAGTACTTCAAGTCAGATTCTTTGCAAAGTCGGTTAACCGGCTCATGTACCGTACAGGTGTTTGACGATTGTGATGTGGTTGGCCCTGGCAGAAGGTTTCCGCCAGGTTTGGTTTTCATGGGGCAGGACGACCAATTGATTTGGCCACCAGCAAACCTCTTCACTTCACACAACCTCACCGGTTGCTGAAGAAGCTAGGACGTTATGAATATGTACGGCCTGTTTTCTTTGTCACGCACGATGCAAAAAGTGTTGAAAGACCGTCGAATGGAATGGAGACCTGCCATCCATTTCACATTAACTCGGGAGCGATACAATGGTGGACCAAAAGTGAACATATTCCCTACACCCAGACGCGACCCGGGACCCGTTTGGACCCGAACCAATCCCTATGGTTTGCTTCGGGACCAGTTGGGCTGGGAACAGGTCCAAAGATCCTGAATACCTTGGTACTGGCAGCGTGTTTTTGTATATGATAGGATAGATCATGAATTTTCATGTTCTAACATGTCCATCTCCAAAAAAAGTATTATAACTGCATTGATCTTCAAATCGATAAATCCATTGATCATGTAAATGCAACTCTATATAATCTATATATGTCAATATGTAGATATATATATATATATATGTCCATAGAAATCCTACTTATATGTCCCATATATATATATATGCAATTCCACTCATCCCATATATATGAGCACTGCAAAAGAAATTCGATCAATTCGATCCAGGCCATTCTTCCCCAGATTCTCAACGACGCGAAACACGCGCGCGAAAAACGCCAGGTCTTCAGGTGAGAACGGTGCAAAGTCTACTGCAGCTCGTGAAGGAGTGGTGCAGACAGACCGGGATCAACTGCCACCGGGATCGAGTTTAGTTTGGTACTGGACCCGACAATGGCGCCTGCAAACCTGGCGTCTCCAATGACCTTTGCAGAAGGTATGTGGAATTTCTATGAGAAGTTGGCTTGGACGGTTTGGTTTGCGTTTGTGGCCGCTGAGACAAGAGGTCTATACTCTAATCGAAGCCTTGGTCTTGTTATGATCACTGAGGTTCACATCAAGTGGGAGAAGGGGGCCTCCTGGAAGGAAAAAGTGTTCTAATTACTTTACATGAGGCCGATATGGACCGTTGTTACTTTTTTTCCCAGTCCTGGTCACCTTTCCAGCTGCCCCAAGCCTTCGGATGCCTTCGGACTCTACAGCTGGACGTCCCAGTCCAACGCCCGCGGAGGCGACGTTGGCGCAGAAGAGCCACTTGGCCTTCACCGCCGGGGTGCTATGTGAGCATTGCCATGTGCGGCCGCTCATGGGACTGGCGGAAGGGGGGGTTCGGTATCAGCCCGTGCTTGACCTGTTGACCGATGAATCAACGGGGGTGGCGTACATGGTGAAATCTTGATTTACCCTAAATAAAGATCATCCCAGGTTCCAAGAAAGAATCTAAATTAGAAATGAACTGACCCCGATTTAAATGAATACTTAAAAAAAAGGAATTAGTATATTATTACTATACTTATTATTATTTCTTTTGACATGTGCTAACTTTATTTCGGGGGGGTTAATGAATCAGGGCGGGAACTTTGCTAACTTTATTTATGGGGAGTTATTCATCAGAGGTCAACATTATACACGGTTTGTTGCAGCTTGACAGGGAATGGTTCAAGTGACGTTACCAGCAAACTTGAATATGTAGAGTTCATCTCGACTATATGTGATTATCATGAGTCGGATATAGCCGGATTCCTGTCTTCTCAGCAGCCGCAAAAGGGTTTTGCGGATTGTTTTCAGCCTTGTTGCAAAGTCATTCACTCCCTCCTTCGAGAAGACTATGAGATAGCTGGTAAAGCCTATTCCCATGTAGAACTCTACAGGTCAGTTTGACCTCATTCTACTCTAAGTCTAGGTGTTTTCCTGTGTCAGACTGGACCTGTAATGGGGGCAACCTAATATAACAGAATCTAGACCTGTGACAGGCTTCGACCGGCGACGCCCTTGGGGGGACTGCGCGTATCCGGAGGCTCCTTGCACAGCAAAACGCGACGATTAGCACAGCTTCTTACGCCTGCACACTCCCACACAGGTGTGCGCACCAGGGTCTGATGGAAAAGCCAGGCAGCCGGAGCTTCAGACACACGTATGCACATGCACACCCGCACGTGCGCCCGCACGCACACGAACGCACACGCACTCGCACGCACGCACGCACACGAGAGCACACGAGAGCGCGCACATGGCTTCTTCAAATATCAGGGCTTTGTAGTGGAAAACGCTGAGAAATATTGTAATGTTTAGATGATATTTTTGAGCACTTTCTAGCCTAAAGCTGTCTGCGTTTAGGCTAAAAAGTGCTCAAACAGACAGTCTTCTGCAACGTTCTCCACTACAAAGTCCTGATATTGGAAGAAGCCGTGTAAACCCAGTGGTGCTAGAAATGTCGGCTGCAAACCGGCATTTTGAACATCACCGGGACATGTATTTTCTTCAAAAAAAGTGAAAAACATATGGAAAATGATAAGGACATGGGGCCACCCCAACCTGCAGACAAAGGGGGGGGAAAGAAAATCCAATTGTTTGCCACATGCTGAGAGAATGGTCGGGAGCTTGGAGCTTGTGTCAAGACTTGGTGATGCGTTGTGAGTGCAGAATCATGGGGTGCTGTGGCTGCGGTTCAACGGTGCCAGCGCTTCGTGGTATGGTGAGCGATGTGCTTTGTCATCCAACTGCAGCGGATCCTTGAGCCGCTGGGTGTGGCGTTGCCATGCACGGTGCGGTGCATGACCTGTGGCTGACTTTGGAGAGTTCATGAGAAGCAGCATGTCTGACATGACCGCAGGCATCCAGAAATGAACATCAAAGTGTGCGTACATATGAAAAGATTTCTTAGATGGATGGATGGATGGATGGATGGATAGATAGATAGATAGATATAATATATATACATATACAGATGCATGTCCAAGTCATCGACATTATTTTGTGGTGGAAAAAGAGCAACCCAAATCAAGTGCACTTGAGCCCAAACAATGCGAATCTCAAACGGCGATGTCAGCAGGTAAAGCAGCCTGTGTGCTGAGGCTGTGGGTGCAGCCACTGGTGGCCCTAAGAGGTGTGGAGAGGACGGTGCCCAAAACCTTTCCCCCATTTAATTCTGCGCCCAAAAGGGCGTGGACAGGGTGCCTAACAGCAGCTTCGAAAGCCAATAGAAAAAAACTTGAGCAGCCAGAGGCGGACCAGACAGGAGCCCTGAGACCAGAGGCACAGCGAAGCCAAAAAGCGGAGGTAGCGCCGCAGCTGTCTTCCATCTAATTCTGCGCCCAAAAGGGCGCGGACAGGCAGGGTGCCTAACACCAGCTGCCACAAAGCTTGAGGGGCCAGAGGCAGAGCAGGTAGGAGCTCTAGACCAGAGGCAACGTGAAGCGAACAAGCAGAGGTACCGCCACAGTGGCTTCGCTATCCCAGACGCCGCCCCGCGTAGGCCTCTGTTGGCGGATATATACAAAATCATCACCTGCACCTGGCTGTTCCCTTCCACACGGCTGCTTCCAGCTCGCGTGCGGGCACCAGGCCTCCGGCCGGTCCTGGGCGGCTCGGCACCATGTGATCGACCTCTCCGAGCTGAAGGAGCGGCGGCGTACAGTTTGCGGGAGGCGGCGTGTGGTTGGGTTCGGCTCCCGCTCCTGGCCCACCTCCGTTTCGGTTCGGTGGGGGGTGTATAGTTAGTTCGTTAGTTTCGGATCCAGGGAACATGCGCAGTGATCTAACTTGGGAGTCCCCGCCTGTAAACGTGACCGAAGCAACCAGGGGATCAAGTTCGGTCACGAGAAGATCCACGATGATGATTGTGTTTTTTGGTGACTGGTGAATGGATGTGGAGAGAGCTTGTAGGCCAAGGGCCAAGGGCGCGAATTTTGTGTTGACAATTGTGAGGCGAAGGTCCGCACGATTATTTGGTGGTGAAGGTCCACACCAGGATATGGTTTTTTTTTTCCTCGCTATTTGATGTGTGATGCTTGAAGATGATGGAAAGTTCCGAAATTTGGTTTATTTGTTCATGTAAACTGTTGAGTAACAAAAATTATCCACCGCGGACGCCGCGGAATGATTCAGAATTGATTATTTACATTCATGTTTAATTACATATTTGTACATTTTACATGTGTGGGCCACTGTGTGGGTTTTATCAAAGCACAGTCTACATTGGAGGATGCCTTCATTCTTTCAATTTGAGTTGCGGGGCAAACTGTTTGGGTGGAGGTCCCTGCAATTGTTTCCCGTTCAAAGGGTCCCTATGAGCATTCTGAGTGCAAGACTTTGGAATAGAGGCCGCGAAATGGAGCAGGAAATGGAGAGTCCTCCCAGCTTGACCCCCGGAAGGGATCAAAAGAACACATGACTCCGCTACTTTTTTCGGGGCTATTGGTTCCGGCGTTGCCCTGTTCCAATACACATCCACTTCACCTGATGATCCTGTTGTTTCCCTTTAAACCGGAACCAACGCAGTGCTCTTTCACCAGTCATGGTTCGGATGATGTGGAGCATGACGAAGGCGGTGGAGTAATGCAGCTCTGGTTCCTGCAAGTGGTTCACTCAATGAGTTAGAGGAGAGGGAATTAAATACATGTTTTGGTCTAGCTGCTAGGTGCTAACTCACTTAAAAGTCTCTCCAGACTTTTCACTGGAATCGTTTTAGAAGCAGTTTTTTTCGGCATAGTAGCGCGAAAGTTCGAGGGCCTCAGAGTGGCTGCTTGCGATCCTCCCGTTCAACCTGCGGCGGCAGATCGAACGCCCAAAATTCCACTCAACCCTGGCGTGGCAGTCGCGCCTGTGAGTCGAGGACGGGGGCCCTGTGCCCTGCCGCGCCTCCGCGCGTGCGGTCACAGCGCCCTGGAGCTCTTGGGTGAGCCAATGGTCTCCTGGTGGAGCTGAGCTGGTGGATGGGGGACGGCGGGAAGAACGACGGTTTTTCGGCTGGTCCAAAGAGCAACTTGTTCAATGTGTTCCCCCATAATGAAGAGATGTGACATGGTGTTAGGACAGTGCTGGGGGGTGAGGCAATCATGAACTATGCATGTGTCCGGAATTTCAAGTGGCATTGTGTAATATATCCCATTCATGTCATCTAACCATAGTATGATTGACAATTAAACATGTTGTTGTTGGGAGTTTGGGACAAATCAAGCACCGGGGTTTTCCCTGTTCCCACCCAGTCAGTGGATAACCTGATAGCCTTTTTGGCGGATTGGTTTCCCCACGAAAATCCAACAGAGGTGAAAAATGGTTAACCTGAATTTTCCAGGGAAACTGAAGGGGTCAGTTTTTTGCTTGGCTTGGAGGGGACAGCACAATCTTGACCATACTCCATCCTTCCTTGGGTGCTGTCGGATGCCATTTTTGGGTGCATAGCAATGGCCAAGTTCTGCTGCGCCACCTCCTCGGCCGAACTTTCGGGAGTGACCGGAGGGCGACAGCCCAGCTCAAAAAGCATGCCCTAGGGATCCAAGTACCTTCTCAGAAGGTGTTTGGGGTGGGTTTGGAGGGTCCAAGTGCCTTCTGAGAAGGTACTTGGATCCCTAGGGATGGGCGGTTGGTCAGGCAAAAGGCGGAGCAACAGACTCCGACTTCTCATGTGAAGACTTCCACCGAAGCCCAGCTGCGACCAGACCTGCCAGACCGGCGCAAGCGCGCCGCGCGGTCCGAGCTCGGTCCGAGGTCTTCCAAGCCGAGGCGCCTCGGGGGCGTGGGAGTGATGGGAAGATGACAGGCTGACAAGCTCCAACGAGCACCTCATGTAGACTCTTGAGGACCATAAAGCACGTGCAACATCCTCTTGATATGGGGGGTTATTCATCAAGAGTCTACAATAGTATGGATTCAAAACTGTTGAAGATGTTGAACTATGTTGAATGAAACCAGGGCTCCCGCCAAGACGTGTTTTGGTGGCCAAATAGTTGAATTGAACATCCAGGTGTCCAATGTTGAGTCAAAAGAGATCCACTCAAGCTTGTGTCATCCATATGTCTTCCACTAGTCAGTGAGTGTTCTGTCCACTTCTGGCTTCCCATGGGCCCCCTAAAGCGTTGTTTGTGTCGCATTCGTACGGCCGAAGAAAGTGCCGGAGCTTACGATGAAAGGCGTGGTAGCAGCTTAGCAGGCCGATGGCAACAGATGGGATGGCTGTGGTGTCACCTGGAGGCCCCTTGAAAGGCCCGGTGGGTTGACCTCCTTAGTTTAGGCCATTCTCTTGATGTTCTGTGGTCAGCTGAGGTCTCCTGCTTTTGACCGCCAAATGACAACACAGCAGTGTTTCATTTTGTGAATCTAATTATTGGAGTTCGCAGAAGCTATCAATTACGGCGCCCCCTTTTTGTGGTTTGCCTGCAAGTGTTCATTCAACATCAATGATCAACAAGGGGGTGAAGACCTCAGCAGCAATGATCAACAAGGGGATCAAGACCCGTGTGTGTGTGTGTGTGTGTGTTTTTGTTCAATTATGATGGATATATTGTATACATATATATATATATATGCAACGTATGTTACAGAATTGAACATGCGAGAAAAAATAGACGATTATATAACATTACGATCAACATAACATGGTTATGTTCAACAGGACTGAACCACGTGAGCGATCGAAACGATCAAAGCTCTCATGTATCGAACAATTCCTGGGCCCCAAATTCATCACCGCTCACATGATTCTGGGCGTTGGGTGTGCCTTCATGGGTTCACCCTTGGCCATCCGAACCCGTCTCAGGCTTCCACAGGCCCTCGTCGATACGTCGGGTGGACGTGAGGTGGCGGAAAAAGATGGCCTGGCCATCGGTGGATGGTTTGGCCAGGAACATCCTGGGTGCTAACGTTTGTTCCATGTTACTTTCTGATTTGGGTCGCTCTTGCTTGAAATAGGTTTAAATCACAGTTTTGCTTCATCCATGATTGAGTCTCCCACTGCTCTTGGCGGCATAGTTTGTGAGACCTAGTTCGCAGAGTCCAGCATGGCTTGGAACCATTATCGGAAGCAGGATGAATCTTGCCAAACATCTTCCAAACCACTTGTTTGTAGAGGGAGTCCTGACGAACAAGAGTTCCAAGGGTTCGCAGACTTCGAAGGATGGGAACGAACGCTCCTCGACCACGTTCCTCCTCCTCCGACTTTGAGGTTCGCATGGCTTTCCTCGACCCTTACAGGAGACCCTCGACCCTGACAGGTTTTCATGGAGAAAGACCATTTGTATCCATTTGTTTGGTCTTTGGCCCCGAGTTCACGGTCATCCGTGGTCATCCGGGCCATGAAACATCCGCGTCCCCACGTGTCATCGTCCATCGTCCGCGCCGGTATGCGGTCGTCCAACTGACCAAGACCCAAAGCAGGTCGTCCAACCGGCGGTGGAGAGCCAGTCGTAGAGCGTTTCGCGAGCTCCAAATATATACGAAAACAGTATGGAGATCCAGAATCAGCTCGTCATGAAGTTGGTTGGACACCCCAACCAAGCCAAGATTGCAAGAGCACTTCTCAACCAATAAAGTGATGTCTGTATATCAAAAGAGACACACAAAAACCTCAAGGTTTGAGGGTAGAATCCAAGGTTTATATCAGTTATGTATAGTTATGTGTATTCTAAGCTTAGAAGTGCCACCAAGGATCTCCAATAGAGGTGGATCCACCCGTGCCTATGAACCCTCCCCAACCGCGCCCTCTCCAGCCGTGGATCCACCCGTCCCAGGCCGAGGGACTGTCGCCCACACACACCGCCTCGACGGAGCGGTCCGCGGTTCGCGAGCGGTCCGCGCGCGGTCCGCGCGTCTACGGAAGACCGGGCGTATGAAGATGGGTGGTTCTTTTTCCCTCAAGTGCTCCCCAAAAGGATCCAAAAGGTTTCACTTAGGTTCACTTAATGATGGGAGAATGGAGATGGGTTGGGGAGGTTGGAAAGTAGATGGCTTTTGCATTGAATGAGATGATCGGCTACAGGTTTTGTTGTTGCCTATTGGTTATACGGTTCTACATTAATTATGGCAGTACATGCAATACAAGATGAACACGCTGATGAGTATACGATAGTATAAGCACCCCAGAATGTATAGCAACAAATCTCTTACGCCCTGCCCTTCATTTCTGTGGACATGGTGTGTTGTACCACCCACTCCTCCCAGAGAAAGCTCGGTGCTCAAGCTTGCAGAGCCATGATCCCACCCCAACATGAATATACCCAAACCATCCATGGGACTAGAATCTGGGGTATGTCAAGCAATGAGCCATGTGCTTTTCGGGCTTCGTCTCATGTCCACGAATCATTAGAAGCAGTAAAGCTAACTTCACATGTCGCCAGGTCGCAGGCCCTTGGAACTTACCCTCCTCAAGTATAGCAGCATCCCTATTCCAATCCGCCCCTTACTGTTTTCTCTATAACACTCTGTACAGATATTTACATGCATAATATATACCCTATATAGATATCCTTCGTAAATCCTTATGATCCTTGTCCGATTTTTCCCTTTTCCTCTCCAGCCGTCCTTTTCGTCCTTTTCGGTGAAACACCGACGAGGAGCTCTCCGTCCATGGCACCACCGCGCGAGACCCCAACGACTTGTGGAAACCCGACGACGTGTGAAACCCCTCCCCACAAAAAATACCATGTATATATATATATACCAGCACCTTCCAACAGGTCTCCATTAGAGGCCCTAACAGGTTTCAATTGGTGACCTGTTGGAGGTGCTGGTGTATATATTAGAGTAGATTGAGAGTAGATGGCACAGACCCCAATGTCGGTGATTTATATGGATCCCCATCTGTCGTCCGGACATCATGGGGGAAACGTGCCATCGAGCCTCTGAAACCATGTCTACATAGGCCTCAAAAGGTGGATTGGTTTTGAAGAGAATGTGGGGATGGCTTTTTGGGGGGGGTGAATGTAGGTGAAAAAAGTCCACTACATACCTAGCGCTTCCTGTCTGGGTGTTCAGCCAGGGGACCTAGGCGAGTAGTTGACTGGGTTGTCCAGACAGGTGACCCGGACTGGGAGCAGCTGGTAGAGAGTGTTTGATCCGAACCGTCATTGACCTAATCCCAGGGACCTCGAGCTTCCACCACGATTGGAAGAGTGACATGCAATAGTCGTAAAAGGAGATTGAGGAGCCAGAGCCTCAAGTATCATGCTCCAAGTCGGCTGATGGAAGAAGCAGTGGAAAGGGCTTGGAGATGTTTGCATGCCCAAGGAAGCAGCTGGAAGAGCTCACCTATGACCTATGGAGGGGATCTCCAAAGTCGTGGGAGTTGGATTCCAAATACTCCTGACTCCTTACAAAGAAAAAATGGTGGGCTTCGCGTTTCGTGAAAGCCTGGCGGGTTCCAGGGGGACAGATCTTGGGGGGCGGGTTGCCGACCTCCAAAACCCTCAGTGCGAGGTGTTTTTATTGATCGGAGAAAGGCACGACACTCGTGCCCACAGACCAAGAGTCTCGGAGGTTTTTGCAGCGTCCTAGCCAAGCTGGGATCCCATGCTCGGATTCTAGATTTCAAGATCCCTTCTTCCCTAGGGCTCCAAGTACCTCCTCAGAATGTATTTGGACCCTCTAAATTTTGGACTCTGAATTGTGTTGGAGGCCCGAAGCTGCTTGGAGGTGGTGGGCACGAGGTGGCACGGTTTTTCACCTCCTGCCATCCGATGTGGGTTGGGAATTTGCTGGTTCGTTTGGTGAATGTCCTGACTTGATGGGGACCAGGGATGGGGACCAGGACCCATCTTCGACCAGTCCCACTGGAGCCCGCTCGTACCCGGTCACTCTGTCTTCCTCTCCTTGACTCTGCGGCTGGAACTGGGAGACGGCCCAAACGACCGGTCCTCCGCGAACCACCCCTTCGACGGCCCAAACCGAGACCGCCCGCAGCGCGGTCTTCCGAGGACGTGCACCTGTTCTATGCCTCGCCCATTTGGCGGAAGACCGAGGCGGAATGGGGAAGACCGGTGGAAGTGTGGACCGAACAGCAACTGTGGTCCGTGGGACTTGGGGAGGAAAGGGACCGGGTGGGGGAAGAGTGTTGACCGAATTGACAGTTAGAACCACTCAGTGTGGCAATGTGTTGGTGTTTTGAATATAGATCAAGTTGATACCGAGCTTGAGTAGGTTACAATGCTTTGGTTTAGTGCTTAGCAACTCCATGATCACTCCTCAAGAAGCTTCACTGCACAGCGCCAACCTTCCCAAAGCCTTTCCCAAGTGGTCTACCAGCAGTTCCATGTCGGTGCCCCACCTCAGTGCCCCAAAACATCCTCCAGGAAAACGTCTCCGAGGTCTCAACACCACCCCGAGTACTGCCACAGACCGAAACGAAACGAAGGGACCCTCCTAGACCCTCCTGGACCCTCCTGGACCCTCCTAGACCCTCCTGGCACCTGCAAATCTGTGGATCCATAGGGTGCTTGGGTCCCTTTTGAGGGACTGACAGGACGAGGGACTGACAGACTCTCCACGAGACGAGACCGGAGGTGGTCGGCTTCGGCGAAGAGTCGATGATTACTCTCACTCCTTTCACCTGGGCGTGAAGAACCACATGCCAGAATTTGCCGTGCAGCCAGGGACTGAACGGCTTTTGATTAAGCCCTATAGCCCCCTAGCCTTGACTGTGATACCACATAAAACGGTCAGGTTGACCTGGCTTTGTAGTGTAAAATCCTTAGTATTTGGTAAATGTCCATTAAATTACAGGCTGGTTGGAATCGAAACGTAACTCCCTTTCACATCGTGCGGCGACATCCTTAGCGACTACAATAGTTTCACTGGCTTCACCCCGAAACAGCACCGTGATGCGATGCAAGACCTGGATGGCCACACATGGTTGTGTGTATTAAAATAGGGAGAGTTCAACCACCTGGAAGAAGGGAAATAGACCAGTTGGTTGGGGGTCTCCCTATTGAAACACACACCCAAATGACTAGTGTTTTTGATATGACATGAAAAGACGTGAAAAGACCATACCATATACCAACACTACAAAAAGGGTGTTTCTGCTTTTCGTTTTGAGAAAATGCATCGTCAGAGTCAGAGGAGGTCAATAAATCATTGGAACTGGGTGCTGCAATGGTCTATTAAAGTTTGACATGACATGGCATTGCAGTACTCAGTAGTAGAAGAGGCTTAGAGGCTTGCTGTTTTCAAACAAGAACCCTTGCTCCTGCTACCATGATTTATGATGACATGGCACTTCATCAAAAGATATCAAAAGGTTCCTCCCGGTTTCGGTTGAATTGTCACGGACGGCGAGTGGGACGGTTCAGGCTGGAGGCTCTGAGCTGGCGCAGTTGGATGTACAAAATGAGGTGCGCCAGCGATGGCCGCGATGGGTGGGGACTTTCCGAAGTTTCGGAGGATTTGGAGAGGGCGAAGAAACCCAACAATTCGCACTCCGGACGCTTTGCGAGGTTCCGGCGACACGGCTTTGGCGGAGGTTCCGGCGACCCATCGCTCGCCGGAAACGGGTCGAACAGAGTCCCTTCACTCTGACCAGGTTGGACTGAATCGAATCCACTTCTGCTGGTTGTGGAATTTGCAACTAGAATGAATAATTACGCTTTTTCATCGAAATGGACGTTCTGGCCCCTGGGAAGACCATGAAATCCTCTACAAACAGGTGGTTTTCCACTTCCATGTCAGTGAGTCAGAGGGTACGCTGACTGGCTTCTGTTTCATCAATGCTGAAGCTCCCATGTTTGAATACACCAACCCCCGGCGCGAATCTAGCTTGCAAGATGTTGTGAACACTTCAGAAGTCCAGCTGCCAACTGGTTGCTATACTGCTTGCTATCTTGTTTTGGAGGAGGGGAATACATCGCCGACGATGGCGGTGGACACATACGGGTGCCCCATGGACGACAATGGACGGTCCCTCACTACGATCCAGGATCTTCAGACAGGACACCCAAACGGTCGGATGATCCTGGTACAGTCAGTACACAAAATATACTTAGGGTCTGTCCGAACTGACCTGTAACAGTCAGTAAACAACTATCACTACTTTTGGACAAGGCCTGCAGCCTAACCATCATCATCCACTGTTACAGGTAATAGGATAGACCCCAAATATACTTATTCTGCTCTGGAAGACTAACGTAGACCCGGGTCCTGTCTGGCCCCCTGGAAGATGGTTTTCCTCTGCCAACCAGTGGTTTTCAGGGTCCATGGGATCGTCTTCCAGGATGTACTCCACCCACCCACCCACCCATCCAGCCACCCACCCAGCCATCCATCCATCCATCCAAAAGAGCGCCCATCCACCCACAACATGAAGAGCCTTTGGATTTTCTCCCCCTGCGGCATCGAGGTCTCCATGCTCATGGAGCTGGGGGAGGTGCGGCTGCGCGGTAGAGAGCGAACACATCGACGCAAAAGCTGTACATGCCCAGATGCAACTAATGGAACTGCCATCTATGCCGATCAGTTTGGGTGGTTGAAGAAGGGGGTCAATGTAGGCATATATGGCAGTCCCATGGAGTGTTTGGGTGAAGTGGATGGCCACGGTCGCGATCTCTTTCATTTTTTCAGTTTTGAGGTGTGACTGTGGAACATGTCTTTGGAAAGACTGGATCTTCTTTTCTATATGAACAGGTGACTTTCCACTTCCGTTTGCTTGAGTCAGTGTGATTTATCATAGACCTCCAAACAAGAGCAGACCACCCGCTTACTGCAAGACCCTCGTTCGCTCCTTTTTGATCTTTGTTGTAGCGACACCAAAGAAGAAACATGGAGGAACTTCACATGTGTCGAACTCCACGTCTCTGGGATCAGGTCTACTCCGCAGAGGCTTGATGTTAAGGTCGATCCTGCAGATCTGGGCTTTGTGTTTGCATGATTTAATCTTACTGACCCTCAACTCCTTGTCTTTCCTGCTTTGGTGCGCTGGAGGCCCTCCACTTGAAGGTGGCTACCGCCTCCAATTTGGCTGCGGTGCTGACCACAGAGGCCCCCAAACTCGCACGTGGTTCACGTGTTCCACGAAGCTTCTGCAGAGCGAAATTAGCACACAAAAAATTTAGAATTTACACTCAGTTTGTATTGCATGGTTAAGATTTGCAGGCCCCTGTTCAACCCTGTGATTGCTGGCCGCATTTGGACGGATCTTCTTCCACATGCGCTCTCAAGTAGTATGTCACAAGCACAAACCTCATATCCCAAATCTATATTGTTGCCCCCGCGAAGGGACTCACCACTTGTTCAACGTGACGCAGGGTGTTTCGGGAGGGTGTGTCTTAGGAGACTTGACTATACCCAATGGGCACGGTGCCAGTGGGTCGAGATATTATGTCAAGGGAACCACCAAACTGTTGGATTAAACATGTTTAAAGATCATATCATTATATTTAGGTTCCCTCGTGGTGTATCTTTTTGTCGAGGGTCTGACTCTTATGGCGAGACGGTCAAGGGATCCGATATATTTTCGGTAAGAATTGCGTGGACGGTCTTCCAAGCTGTATGACTGCTGTGATCCTCTCACGCAGGCCAGCGCTGGAAGCATGCTGCACCTGCCGGAAGCTTGGACCCGGAGCAAGATGAAGGTATAGGAACCCTCGCACGCTATAAAAAGCCGTCTTCCACATGTGCAGAAAAAGGATGGGCTTTGATGTTATGTCCAGGTCTGATCACACTACACTACACCCTGAAGGGAACGCAAACAAAACCAGCAAAACTCCATTTAGATGACAGCTGTGAACCAAGACCGTAGAACCCCAATTGTCGGGTCATCAACCAGGGTTCCTGGCACGTGCCAGGACTCATACCACAAGGATTGTCATGGGCCATGTTGGAAATTGTTTGACCATTTTCCAGGCCATCCATCTACGGCATATTTATATACCTATATTGACCCCTCTTCAACAACCCCAATGTCGTAGGTAAAAATGCCATACATGGATGATGAGGTTGGATTCGTTCAGATCATCCCGGTCGACTGCGGATCGGATGTATTTTTCCCGGTCCAGCACTGGATCCATTTCTCCTGGGGAAGCTTTGTGTTATTGATTAGCGTCTCCTGGACAGCAAAACCAAGTTACACTGTTACACCATCCTTCATACATCATATTAGAATGTTCCAGTTGTTCATGGTCCAATTTGCGTGGCTTCTTTGGTTGGCTTATTCATTCAACGCTTCAGGTCCTTACACTGTGCAGAGAACGGGCAGGTGCTCTTGCTGGAGGAGGGATGGTGAGACTGTGTCGTCCACGAGTTCGAGCCCTAAACCCTGGTAGATGATGTAGATGGACCTCCCCAGTCTATTCTGATCATTTTCTGTGGGAAAAACTGGTCGGTCCCCCTGTGCCATGACCTGTAGCCATATGTTATGCGTTCTTCATCAAAATATAGACCCGGTTTTATATCTGGATGATATGACCCGTATATTATCATATATGACCCATATTATATTTGGTCATACGCAGGCAGACATGATTCCCTAAACCCTCGATTTATTGCCAGAGTAGACCCCAGGATGTCCAAGAGAAGGGGACCATACCGGACCATCTTCGGTCCGGACCCTTTTTTTCAGGACTTGGTCCGGCAGTTTTTCCAAGTCACTTGATGTGGGTTCTCAAGGCTTTGCGTTCTTTGTGGTCCGCATTTCTTGGAAGGTAAACCCACTGATGCAATGAGTTTGCTTGCACAGTTTGCTCGTTTGCCTGCTACGCTGTTTTCTCATGCCGCAGGGTTTAACAGTGGTTCACGCCTCAATCAGATCCGTTTAGGAGATCATAGGAGATCTTCCAAGTATATCCGAGTATTCGGCACAGTGTGATGTACATGTTGAAGGATGCAGGTGGGTGTACCCAAGCTGACAGAAAATAGGCGAACATGTAGTTCCATTGTTACAGGATGTCGAGGCGCTGGGTTATACGCAGTTCCAGCTGCGCAGGTCTGCAGAACCTGCCGGACAAGTTTTGGGTTGTTGAACGAGTGTGCAGAATATCATGTCGTAACCCCGGCGTAATCTCACACATATAACTCCAGCATAATTTACCATAACTCGGGCGTAATATTCCGTAACTCCTGCATAATTGTCCAGTGTCAGTTTTTGGAAGGTCTTGAGCCTTGAGAGGTCTTTTGCAGAAGAGTTTGGACTGAAGCCATGAGTTCTGCTGTACGTTTGTTGGGGAGTCGATTGCCACATGCTCCTGCTTTGTTCTTGGAAGTCTTAGTTTGGGCATCGGAAGAGGGGCAAGGGCACGAGAAACAGGAAGGCTCCAGTTACCAGTTGTCGGGATGTGGATTGAGCGTGTTCCGGGAAAACCGACTCGTGGCGCAAAGGCCACTCGTTCGTGCATGATCCAACCTTTCACCATCCCTTCTTCTCTGAAATGTTCGATGTGTGTTTTTTAGTGTGTGTGTGTGTGTGTTTTTTAAGAGGAATTCTGGCTGAACATTTTGCCGGATTGAGGTCCGGCACTTGTTTCATCCCAAAGGGCAGATCCAGGTAGGAGTCACAAGACGGGGTGCCGCTCTTGGATGGAGGAAGGATAGGGGTCCCCTTGATCCACTCGCTTGGGGACCAGAAACCACCCCCAACTTGTGACTCCTGGTAACCATCCCCAGACGCGACCTGTCTGGGACTGGCATAGGACTGCCGATCAATTGACGCCCAAAACCACCACAACCACCCCTGGCCGTTTCTCGGCAAATAGTCCAGTCCCCTGGAGCGTTTGGGATTCCGGATCCACTTCAGATATGTTCTTCGACCCACCCACGTTCGTTGGGCATCGTTGCTCATCGACTTCGCAGGATGACCGCGGCGGGGCTCACGCCTTCTCTCTCGAGGCGAGGGCTGCGGCTTTAAGAAGAAACGTTTTGGAAAAAGCTAAAGGAGGTCCACAGCACAAGGATGGCATGCCAAACAACAAGTGAACGCCATATTCTCAGATATTCTCAGTACACCCCGAAAATCAAGAGCACTTTTTTTGTGCCTGCGCCAAGGCCTTGAACGTGGTTTCAAGGGTGCGTTTCAGAGGTAGAGTGCAAACATGAGGGAACCCGTCAGGGTTGAGAAGAGGATCCAGATTGATTTTGTTGTTGAAGATGTGATGTGCTTTGCATGTGCTGATTGGCTGCTCAAGTTTCCCAGATTTCCTAGAAATGATAGTTCACTATAGGAGCCAACCAAGCGTCTTCAAGTACTTCACAAAGGATATCGTTGAACACTTGCACTGCGGTGTGTTCTGCTGAAAAACTCTGCAGAAGACATGATTTTATCGTGCATTTGCTCGGGCGTTTGCGATCTTTCTTGTCGACTGATCCACGGGTCTTGCCAGGACCTAAGGGCTTTGCTGACAGCCACCAATGGCGCTGCACGCTTGCAGCTGGTCTTCCTAAACGCCTGCTGTCCGAAGGCCTAGATCGGCCCTAGCATGCCGGTCCGTTCGAAGGAAACTACCCTCACGGAATGTTCCAATGGTGTTTCAATTATATAACAAAAAGAATCAAACCAATAATATCCCTTTCGTATCCTTTCACAAAGAATCATCCACCCAAAGGATCATCAGTGCTATTCAACAGATCTCATCCACCCCAACACTTCGGGAACGGTTGTGCATCTTTGGAAGGGAGCCTGGCAGCCTCCCCTTGGGGGGCGGCGGGTTGCACCATCAAGAGACAATACTGTAATTCCGAAGAAGTGTACCTGGACCCTCCAAGGGGTGTCCAATGGACTACCCCACACTACCTATAGGCTTCCATTGGGCACCCCTTAGAGGGTCCTGGTACATGTTCTTCTAATCCCGAATCCCACAACCTACCAAGACTCCCATCCAGGGTCTTCTATTGATAGCCTGTTATAGAGGTGATCAGGGGTGTCCATTAACCACCCCGACCGTGGGTCCTGGTACATGGTCAGAATTACCAGGCATCCTTTGTGTATATAAAGATGAAAACAGATCATCCCTCCCACCACGCCTAACCATGCACACGAGAAGCAGTGTATACTGCAGAAAGCCAACTGGCACATGTTTATGTTTTTTGTTCTCCGGCAGAAGCGTTCAGCTTTTTCGGTGCACGGCGCATCCCATGTACAAACCGGTCCTCGCCGGTTTCCACCACCGACCCGGTTTCATGCGTTCTTCACGCGAGCGACGAACCCGAGGACGACGAGCGTCGTCTCAGGCAGTGACTTGGCGGGCCTGGTCTTCTTGGACGCTGGAGCTCCTCACGTAGCGTCTCGGAACAAAACACCGAGCACCGAGCCCATCGACCGCGGAGGGAGGCTTTGAACGAGCGTCGAAGGATGAGAGGTTGGGAGCAGCTGAGGCGGGAGGCATTGGTTCCAAAAAGAATGCAGTGGATCCGGTGAGTGAATCTCCAAGAAGCATGACACGGGTTGAGCCATGTTCCAAAACATATATGATCGATAGGGACTGCATCAGAAAGGATGTTTCTTGGTTGTGATTTTAAAGGTCATGCTTTGTGACATTGTTTGACCAAATGTGCCGTGTCACTGAATTGTGTTGTCCTTGAAGTTCCTTGCTTGAATGGAGATCACCAGGCAGAAAAATAATGAACAATATAGATCACCAGATTCCTGTCACACTTGAACAATCAAGTGTAATTCAGCCTGCCAGGACCTTCAGTTCGTGACCTCTGGTACCTAGTCATGTATCAGCTTCCTGGGTCAATCATGGCCCCCCCTTTGGCCATGATTGAAGGTCATTTTCAGGACTCCAAAAGGGTTAACCACGCACCACTAATCCGCCTGTTCGTTCCGTTTTTTTTTTGCCACCCGGATGGTCCGCTCTGAGGTTTGCTGTCGCGGCTCCGTCTTCGATGCCACGGCCTCCTCCTTCACCAAGGCCTTTTATCGTGCCCGGCCGGCCCAGGCGGAGGGGGTGCAGCGGCGAAGCGGCGGACAGTGAGAGGAACTATTTCATTGAAATGTGTGAAATCATCCAACAAAGAAACTGTTCAGCGATACAGTGAACCCTAGCGATACCTTTACAATGTACACTTCAATCATTTGATGTGTTTTCGCTTTACATGAAGCGATACCAAAGCGATACCCCTGCATGATCAAAATGTGGTCTAGATGAGCGGATCCCCTTTCGTATCATTTTCACAGTGCCTGTGGAGCCTGACGCGGACGAAGAGCTCTAAAACAAGAACCGCAATGAAGGGGAAGGAAGTGCTATTGTGTCAATGGAAAACTCTCTCTCCTTCCTTCTTTCTGTCTTTCTATCTATCTATCTATCTTTATTTATTTCTTTTCTTTCTTTATTTCTTTCTTTCGTTCTTTCTTTTTGTACACTTTACTTTGGCTATTTGTTCAAGAGAAATCCTCAAGAAGTATGGCATGCATCCGACACTGCAAAGCGATATAGCAAACCCCCAATACCAACATATGGACTTTACCAAACTTTATGATCGGTTTTGGCGATCGCTCACGTGTGTTTCCAACGGCGGGAGCTCGGAGATGAAAGGGCTGGGTGTGTGAGAACAGGAGAAACATGGTGAAACTGCTATAGAGAATCAAGAAAAGTATATCCTTATTTAGTGATCCTTTTTGTTTGGAAACAGGCTTGGGATGCGAAGTTGGTGAGTTTGGAAGGGATTTTGGACTGGGATAGGGTTTGATTTACGAGAATGCTTCACTATCCTGCCACTGCCATCTCTATCAGTTTGGCATGGATTTGGGAGCTTACACAAGAATTGTTTGAGGGATGTGCGTTTGGACAATGCACCAAACCACCATCAGTATCAGAAAGGGAGAAGTGGGTCATCCTATGTGCAAGTTTGACACAAGAACCAGAAGTTGGAAATTGATTTGTGCCAATTGCCCAGATCGATGATGAAGGGGAAGACTCAGCCAGGACCTTCCCACTGACCCTTTTGGGAGTCCCATCCAGTGGCCGAACGTGCAGGGCTTGTGACCGAACGAACCAGCGAATGCTTGCGTTCGGTCGCTGGGAAGTTCAGTCGCATCAATCAACGCTGCACCATGAGGACTCAGCTCCAGGTCTTCCACTTGTGACGCCCTTCCGGGGACGTTTTTGTTGGGCCGTTGTCGTTGTCATTTGGCTTCTTAGGCCTTTGCTGCGGGCAAGACCGGGGGCCCAAGTGCACAGCGCGTTGGAGCGTGAGCTGGTGGAGTTGGAGTTGAGTGGGGGTTCAGGAGTTGTAGTTCTCCTCAAATCAATTGGCCCCATAAATACCAAAGTGACCGAACTTGAGATTAGTCCATTAATGTCGCTTAGTCCATTAATGTCTAAAGAAGAGGTCTATTAATTAGAGACTCCAAAGAGGTCATTTTGAGTGTCCTGGTCCCCTAGTAGTGTTTCTTGTTAGATTCCTGGGTTACCCTTTAAGAGCCCCCAGTAGACCATGATTGAAGGATATTGAAGGTCATTTCGGGACTCCAAACTGGTTGCCTTGATCTAGGATGTTACTCTGCTGTTAGTCGTATCTACCTATTCCGATTGGGTATGATTGGGAACCAGGATGATTTAGGTCATTGTCCTCCATCCATTTCGGGGTTTCAGAAGAAGTTGAGGACTTCCTCATTATTCGCGGGTGCCCAGTCCGGCTCAGCCACATCGACCAGTCCGACGATAAGCCCACAAACAAACGACCAAGCAACCCACGTGGAGGTGAGTCACCATGCAGTGCTCCCAACCCCAAAAAGGTACGCGGAAAAGTGCCAACAAAGACCGAAGAGGTTCCTGTAAGACACCATTGCTGTGGTTGGCTCACTCATGCTCACTCCTGCTCGGCTGACCTCAAACATACTCGAAGCACCAACCACATCCAGATCCTTCATGGATGAGGCTGTTTTCGGGTCCAATTTCTCGATTCATCATCTCACACCCTCACTTTCAAAACGTCACTCGCCCTCCCAGCTGTCTTTGCCCCCACACCCTCCAGTTTCGGACCTCCACACCCCTCCCTGCTCCGAGTCCGTGGCGCCGTCCTGCCGGCGCCGAGTTGCCGGCCACTCGCGGGAACGCGAAAGCGACAGGAGCGTGGCGCAAGCCTTCGACTTGGCCAAGTTGGAGATCCGCACGGCACCACAACCGGGGCTCCGGGCCGAGGCGTGCGGGACGCAGGCGTTGGTCGTGGGGTGGTGGTTGGTGGCCCTTCAGAGGATGAACAAGAGAGTTTAGACGGGATCGGCTGATGGATCCGAGGTTGGAGCTTTTGGGGGGAAGAGGTCTCCTTTGTATGTTTCTTTCTTGAGCGCTTATACTGCTTATACTATAGAAATTATGTAAAGAGATAAATACGTGTTGTTCAATAGTCACATGTCACCACATGCAGTAGTGCTATTGACTTATAAGACGTGTGGCCAGACCAAGCTTTCAGATGCTTTCAGAGCACGATCAGCTGGCACTCGCCAGCAACCATGCATCCTGATAACCTGCAGTTCAGCCTGCAATTTTCGGGAGGATCATGTCCATGGCAACAATGTAGGCACGATGATGTGCAAGCGCCGCTTCAGTGAGAACCAGCGATGGAAGTATAGCTATACATGTAGCTACTAAGGCTGACTTATAAGATATAAATATACTACCAGAGTCGCAAAGGGATGATTTTTGGTCTCTAAGTGAGTGGATAGTGGGCACCCCTATCCTCCAATACTGTGACATCCTGGTAGAGGTCTCACATGGTCTTACATGTTGAAAACGGCGAGCCTTCGGCTTCTCAGTCCCTTCCGCTTTCCTGGGGGTCGCCTTCCTCGCCAGGCGGACAAGTACCTCCTGCTGCCTGAGGATGACCCGACGCCCGAGGGCTCATGATGGTTCACCGCGCGCAGTCGGCGTGGCACCCGAAGCAGTCGAGTCCCCGCCCATGGCACCCCGAGCGGGGTGGGTTTGTTTGTGCAGTTGTGGCACTTCTCATGAATCAAGGCATGCCACAGTGTGGCACTTCTAGCTGCCGTTTTGATCAAGATCACCATAGGAGGAGAGGGGGAGCCGGGTGTTTGACCACTAGCTGGGAACACCAACCTGGATTGCTTCATTCTTCACCCCATTTTGAATGAGCCAGGTTCGGATGGTTTCGCGGGCACCTTTTTTTCTTCGCACCGGGGGTTTTACAAGGCCAAGGGATTACCAGGTGAACCGTAGACGAAACTCCCGCTCCGGCTGCCGCGCGGCAAAGCAGAGCGGAAGAGATGGTTCGACTTGATGTAGATGCTTCGATCATGTCTGGATTTCTGAATTGAAGAACACCCAGGTGCTCCGAAGTCACTAAGTGAAGCATTTCTTTGATGTTGGAACAGATGCGTATGACGATCTTGACCCTGCGATCTTGCAACGGCGGCCCCCAAACCAAAGCTCCACCCGTGGCGACCTGTTTTTTGGCCAAGCGGACCGGTCCTGTTGTGTTCAGATCGGTCGTGGATGTCTGTGGTCGCTGTGGTCGCTGTGGTGCGGAGCATGGGATCACCGTCAACTGACAGTCAACCTGGCGTCAAGCGAACGAAGACTGTACTGAACTGTACACGTTCTTCTTCCTTCGACGGGGGCACTAGAATGTCCAAACTTTGAGTTGAGCAAACTATAACAAATGGATTGTGCCGAACCCAGAGGGTGAAGCGTTTCAGCACGGTGTTTACTACTTCAATGTCGACATGTCGCCCAAGCAACCGCCCAGCCCCCAGCCTCTGACTGCTTCAGTCCTTCCGGTGCCCCGCGAACCCACGCGGAGCGCGCTCACGTCACTGCACGACCGCCGCGCCATCTCCACGGCGACCGCGGTGGCTGAGGCACCACAGCTGCTTTTGTGAGTTGTCCTGGAGTCGAGGAGCTGCGGTGATGTTCATACGGGCGGAATTTTCGGGGAGGACGGGCTTCAACAGCTCAACAGATCGCTCAACAGCGTTGCATGTGGGCCTTGTGTGGTTGGGGATTGGATTGAGGATTCTCAGTGTTGGACAGACCACCAGCCCTGTGGGCAGACCGGAAAAGACCTGACGTACCGGGCAGGCTGCAAAGCACGATCAGAGGACAAGACAGAGACACAGCAGACCTGCCAAACGCCTGCCAACCTCCACAGGTGTGACAGACGATGTTTATGCCTACGGGTGTAAAACCGAACGTGTGACTACTGCGATTTTTGAAGTTGATGCTACGTGAAAGGTGGGGGGGTTGGGGTGGTGTGGGATGGGGCATATTGACGTTCGTTTGCACTTCACGATGAGTAATCTTCGGTTTCATAGCATTGTCATCGGTTTCATATGTCATAACATTGTCATCGTTTTCATAACATTGGCATCGGCTTGCCGACATTGTCAACGGTTTCATAACATTGTCATCGATTAGTCGTGTGATTTAAATGGGGTGGGGGGGGGCGGGTTGTGATGGAATGAGGATGTGGATGTCATGCTGAGAACATTGTCATCGATTTCACGACAAGTAATCTTCGGTTTCATAGCATTGTCATCGGTTTCACAACATTATGGTCGGTTGCGTAACATTGTCATCGTTTTCATAACATTGTGGATGGCAGCGGCGTTGGGAAAACACCACGTGTACTAACTTGTGCAAAAAAAAAACGCGCAAGTCTACTTGACACAGGACGCATGAAAGTTGAGGACAGCCCGGGACAAAAACGGCGACGGATTTTGCGCTGGCGCTTGGGTTTCGGCGGATTCGGCTTTTAAAAATGAAAGGATCCGGGGCACCCAAAAAACATCACCGAACAAGCAAAAGTACTGAGAGGGTTTGCACTTAGAATCAAAATTTGCAAGACTACACGTGCGATTCCACACCCGGCGGGATGTTTATGATCCACATCTTGCAACTTCTAGCCGCATGTTGCGCCTTGTTCATGTCCAGGCACACGCAAGGAGCCGGATGGGCTTGTGGACCATTGTGCCTATAGTATCCTAGAATCCTACATGTCATATTCCAGACGCTCCATCCTCTATGGAAGAGTTGCCTACGTTGACCCCTCAAATCAACCACCCCAAGGTATGCCGATCCATGCCGGTCCGATTCTGAGGAGTTGCACCAAGAAGATGCTTGTTGCCAGCTCACGTGGAGGACTGGACTCTAGGATCAAGAGACGGCCCTGTGGATTCATCTTTCATCATCTTGCACAGATATTTAACTATATCTAATGAATTCTAATGATATATACAGTATATGTATCTGGCCCCCCCCCAAAAAAAAATATACTTGTTAAAGAGGGGAGGTGGGGGTACCAAATCTGAATCTACAATGTGCATGTGGCATCTGATCAAAATACTAAATGAACATCCTCCTACATCTGATCAAATATACATTTAGTATAAACTACTGTAAATATTATGCTTGAGCCTGCCAAGGAATTTGCAATTTTTTGTCTACTCGACCTTGCAATTTCACTGGCAGGCTCAAAAAAGCGAAAGCCCAGAGTCACAAAACCCTGACAGGCTCAAACAAATCAAAAGAATCAATAGTTTTAGGATCTATGGGGGCTCTGGGGGGTGGTATGTATTGTTGATTTTTGAGCCTGCCAGTGTTTGTGCAAGGTGGAGTAGACCCAAAATCGCAAATTCTTTGACAGGCTCAAACATATCAAAATGTTCAATAGTCACAAAACCCTAACAGGCTCAAAACAATCAACAGTTTTAGGATCTATCAGGACTCTGGGGGGGTTGTATTTGCTTTTTTTGTTTTTGAGCCTGCCAGTGTTTTTGCAAGGTGGGGTAGAGCAAAAATTGCAAATTCCTTGACAGTAAACAACATTAAATATATATATATATACACCCTCCACAAAGCCCCCATAGGTCCTAAAACTTTTTTTGAGCCTGCCAGTGTATTGTGACTATGGGCGCTTGATTTTATTTGATGTTTTTGAGCCTGCCAAGGAATTTGAAATCTCTGCTCCATTTGGCCTAGCAAATTCCTCGGCATGTTGAAAGATACAAAAATCTACAATTGCTACGTTCAATGTTTCAGCTCATGCACTGCAGTGTTGTACCATCTAAAATCAAGGACAAACTCTCACATACAAGCAAGAAATTTGTTTGAACATGTTGTTTTTTTTTGGGGGTGCCATAAATGTATATTCCTTGGAATCCGAGGAGGATACCTTCCACTTTGGTTCCCATGTTGGAACTCTAGTCCGCATGTCTCCACAAGATGTCACATGTTCCCGCATGGAGGGGTTTTTCACCCTCCGCGACGACTTGGGCGTGATTGTGGTCACGGAGGACTCCTTGTTTAGATGCTCATGGGGCAGGTGGTTGTGTCTTTGGTAGGCTTATGTAGCCTAGCGACCTTACAAAAGGTGTGCCAGACAAAGGAAGAGGAACACCTTTGTTTGAGCTTGCCTTGAGAAACAAATCTCAGTTTGATTGAACCCAAGAAGGACTGAAAGACTTTGATCAAGAGAGGGCCTTGAAGAAAACCAGTCTCCACTGGCTCTTGCCCAAGTAATTTGATGAGTCAACCACGAGGAGTGCCCAACACCCATTGCTCCGGACATTTCGGGGGCTGCCGAAGCAGCCCCCATGCCTCCACACTCTCAGATCATCTCAGCTTCAGGACTTTTGTGGCCGTGCACGGGATCTGTGGCTGCTCTTGCAACATCTCAGCTCTCAACGGCGCTGCGTGCTGGTGCATGGCGCTGCACAGGCGGGTCGGACTGGCGAGACCTGTGGGCCGGGAAGGCCAGAGGGATGCAGATGTGTGGAGATTATGATAGACCCAGCAGGTCTCATCTCACACAAAAACGAACCCTTTCTTTGGGGACCTTCAATGATATAACCATCTGAATCTGTGCCTGGGGGGGTTGCTCTCTCGCCCCAACCCAACAGACCGAGCCACCGCCCCCCCCCCCCACTGCGGCACCACGGCAGATGGGGAAGTCGGCCGTGCTCTCGGAGCTGGCGCGCTTCGCCGGGGCGCCGGGGCGAAGCTACGAGAACCGCGTGGGGGGGGGCCCAGAGCGGGGGGGGGGTGAGGGGGGGGGAGGGAGGGTTTAGCGCCCCAAAGAGGACAGATTAATAAGAGTGATTCGAGATGGTTTGTTTTTAGCATATTCAAGCATGATCAAGCTATGATGTGTTTTATTTGTTTAAAATGGATTCCATAACTGTAACATGTTTTATTATACATTATGTGGTACCTTCATTTGGCAGGTGATCAACAACCAGGGAAGGGTAGATCCCTTGTTAACAAAAAGAACAGCAGAGCCTCCCCATGTGAGAGTACCCTAAACCCTAAACACTTTCTAATTCCCAACGCAACAGTTCTTTTGGGGGTGGCGTCGTCCAGCCTATCCATGAGAGCCTGGCGTTGTTGCACTTGGACTCCCAGACCTGGACGGAGTGTGCAAGACGGCTGGTCCAGTTGGAACGTTGTAGCCCCACCCAAACTGCTGGGTTTGGGTGAATTTGGTATTTACTAATTACAGGCAATTTGTACAGATCATGTTCAATTGGAGCTGACTATATCGCCATTTTTCCAGGTCGGGTTGGCTGTTATTGTTGCTGAGCTCTCCAACTAGGCTCTCCACAATGTATACCATATCATCTGAACAAACTGCAGGGGCGTCACTTGTACAAACTGAAGCCGAAATTTCTACTTTTGACCGTCCAAAAAGTAGATTGGCCTTCCACAGTGGGGAGGGCCGGGGTCAAATAAAAAGCACGACCATCCGCCCAAGTTTCCAGACTACCGGACTACGACTTCCAGGGGCAACGGATGGGGGATGGAGTCGCTTGTACAAGATTGTCTGAAATGTATAATTCTAATCTAATATATATAATGATATTGTATATAGATACACAATAATATATGTTATGTTGGGTTGAGCATGGTTGAGCCATTTTTGTCACACCTTCACTCCGTGGTCCAAAAAACTCCGTTTTGGGCGCTCCCTCCACGGCCGACGAACTTCTGCGGCTCCCTCCCGTCCTCGGCCGAGCCTCTCATCGCAGGTGATCTATGTGGCCTTGTCCGAGGAGGCACCAACAGAGTCGACTACCCTGAAGAGGAGAGCTGTATACCAGTCTGTATACCATATATATGACCATGTACCCGGAAGGTCCACCAGAAAGCAACGATTTTTCGATGCTATTTGGTTGACAGATCAATTAGGGTATCCAATAGCCAATGCATTGCAGCGCTTGCAAATGGACCTGGAGCTTCTCTTTGGGTTTGAAAGGAAACTTCTCCCTGAACCAAGTGAAGACTACCAACATTGACTTGGAAGGCCCAAATTGCCACGTGTGGCTGAGTGCAGAGCCAACTAAGTCGAGGACGTGATTGGACCCTTGCACTTTGCAACCAAGCTGAAATTCTTCACCACGCCGTTGCTCGTTGCAGCCTTTGGATGTTGCTCACAGACAGTGGTGGCTGTCATTTGACCCAGCTCCAAACCCAGACACCCTGATTGACCCCCGAGAATGAACAGATGCCTGTTTAAGGGGTGTCACTCACAGCCAAGTCTCTCCACTTTTTGCGGTAACATCGCTGGATTGGGCATCCTAGCAGACTTTTTTAAGCGGGTTGGTTTGCTGGTTGACGATGACTATATACAAGACATGGGCAGCCCAGATCATAATTGACTGAATGTAGAAGACCTTGGATAACTTTGTTTTAATCCTTTCTTTGGTTCCGCTCAGATCTCCCCATGTCTTTGACAAACTATTTTGCATTTTTCAGCTGCCCAGCGTATGGACTAGATCAGACTGGAGCATCACGTTCAAATCCAGAAGGCATCGCCATCCGCAAAATTCCAGACGAACCAGACTCAGAGGTTGTTCGTCTTTTTTGGTTAGGGGCCCAGTTAGGGGTCCGTGTCAAGATGGCAGAGACATTGCCACTTTTGCTAGGCGGAAGAGACGCAAAGTGCTGAGGACGCAGGGTACAATACACGCGTTTAAGAAGACTTCAAGCTGCATCCATCCGTACAGCATGATGTGTTCAGGTAAATTCTAGTTTGATATATTATGATACCATGTTTGCCTCTGTATGAGCAAGAAAGGATGGTGCATTTGGGAGTACGTACAATATATCGAAGTGAGGTGCATTGGGAGTACAGGTTGCATTGGGAGTGAAAGCAACTGTCAGGGCTTGTGTCGATGAGATGTCCCATGTCTGTTGGGTAATCCAGTCCCATGCTGTTGGTTTGCTTGAAATGAATATGTTCTTTCATATAGGTTTGTTTGTGTGGCCCTGTCGTTTGAAAAGCCTGTTTCACTCATTCCTGTGTGACACCAGTGTGGTCATGACATGTGTGGAGCGAGCGTTGATTGTGCTCCAGCACATGTTTCCAACTATGTTTATCTTCCAAGAAAACAGTTACAGAGGTTTCAGAGGTGCAGCATGGCACATGCACCCCAAAGGTGTCTTAGACAGGTGAGGGCCCATATAAACCTGCGACCGACCGGACTAACTTGTGCCTCTGAACAAACACTGTAATAGGCTTGGGCATGAACAACACGACTACGCCCACCTGACCAAGACCAAACCCCGACAGGGGCCTGACATGGGGGATCTTTTTCAGACGTAAGCAGAAAGAAGGCAGTCCTCGGATCACAGGCACCGTCCTGGAACCTGTGGCTCTTCTGGTCGGCAGATGACCGGAATCGAATTCCGGTCGGACCCGAATCCTCGGGTCAGGGGTCTGGACCAGCAATCCTGGTTTGGTTCGGGACCAGTCGGGCTGGGAATGGAGCGGCTGGACAGTGACGTGTTTTTTCATCGTTTGCGCGCGTGTTGCGCATGTGAGTTCGTGCATCAGAGGATCGAGAACCCAGACACTTGAAGTGTCCAAGAGGGGACACGGGACAGAAAGATCGGGAACAGTTGGCAGATCTGGGGCAGATTTGGAGTTTTTCAAGCCAAGGCTGTTTTTCCCCGTCCAAGACTGAGAAGACGAGTCGTCTTCCCTCCAACTCACGCCGGACCTGCCGCGTTTTCGACGCGGCAGGAGCGTTTGTTGCGCTTCCTGCGGCAGCTGGCCCGACGGCTCCGACACATCGAGGCTCCGATGGCTGGTCGCGTGGGCGGAAGAGATGCAAAACGTGAGAACAATGACCGAATCAACAACTGCCCGAATCAGCAACTACGAATCACCAACCAAGATCATCCGAATCACCAACTACGAATCACAAACTAAAACCACCGAATCCTCAACTAAACAGCCCGAATCAACAACTACGAATCACCAACCAAACTAGCCGAATCACGAACCAAAATAGCCGAATCACGAACCAAAATAGCCGAATCACCTACCAAACCAGCCGAATCACGAATCAAAAACAAGCCGAAGCACGAACCAAAACAGCCGAATCACGAACCAAAACAGAATCACGAGCCAAAACGTTCAACCAAGAAACAGAACATGGGTAGGGTGGGCTGGGGCGGGGCGGTGATCAACTGCAGTAGATGTTGCGGTCCAGACAAGTTCTTCTCGCGGCAGAACATGGGTGGGGGTGGGAGCGTTGCGACAATGAGCATTGGCCACAAGCCACTCAGCATTGGCCATAAGCACTACAATGAGCAAGGCCTGCCAGCCACAGAAGCTTTCGTAACAGCTTCAGCGTGGGTTCCTAAAGAGGACTGGTCCTCGTTCAGCGCCTGTGTGATCACAGCACTCACTGTCTTGGAGGAGCAAGGCTGTAACTTACGCACGGCTTTGCGGGCAATCATCCTCGATGGGGCGCCGGCCGCTGCGAAGGCGCTGTCCATATTGCTTCCGAAAGTGCCACTTCTTCGCGACCTCCGCCACATCATGACCAACTGTAAGAAATTGCCGGCATCGATGCCCGGAGAAAAGATCAATGGAACCTACCTCGCCGCAGAAGTTCAATGGACATCATATCTACCATCACCGTTGTTGTTCCACTTCGTGTGGAAACAGGTGCTGAAGTACAACGTTCGCCGTGACATGCAGAAGCTCAACGAATACATCGAATCCGAGCTACTCCGCTTCGAGGCCATTTGCTGTATATGTGAATCAACTGTCGAATGCATGCATGGAATGACACACACGAAACTGTCTCATATCCATCCAACCAAGCATGTTTTGGCTTTGCGCAGGAAGACAAACAGAGTATGCCTTGAATCACACACACGACATTGTCTCATATCCATCCAATCAAACAATTTGTGTCTTTGCACAGGAAGACAAATGGATATGGACAGCGGCGTGGCAGACTGGCTGGCCTGCCCCTACCATCGGGGGACACACTGCTGGCACCGATTTCCAGGCACTTGAAAGTTTTCATAGTCACTTGAAGAAGACCTTGCCGGTTGGTTACCATCGCATGGATCTTCAAGCCGTGACCAACAGAATCCAAGCTGGAATGAGATCTCCGTTCAAAGAGCGAAAATGGACCTCCTCAACCGAAGAAGTTGTAGACGACCTAACCCTCAAGGGCGTGCCATGGCCTGGAGGCGTAAACAGCCAAACAGTGTGCCGTCGAATGCTCTCTGGAGATTGGATCAGTGGGGAGAGACAAGACTGTGAGGCCAGGTATGGTTGGGCCAGCTCTTCTCTTTCTTGTGTCTTTTCAAAGACAGCAAGGCACAGTATGTATAGGGTTTTTCACCTGTGCATGTCGTACATACATTCTAACCAAAGCAGGATATATTTGTTTATATAAATATATGTAAATGGTTAGACGACATGTCTTTTTGGATGTTTTCTTGCCAGACAAGCTGAAAATTTTTGCATGCCACAGGAAGGAATGCAGCGAAGGGAGCCAACGGCTTGCATGTACGTGGAGTTTCTTCCGCAAAACATCTTCTGTGCAGATCGACAAAGCTTCCAAGGCTTGGCGTGTACCAAAGCCTATGTCGTACCAGCTCATCAAGCAGACTTACCGATTGATGCTGCTACTAGCGAAGCTGTGCTGAACCTTCTCGGCTCCGAGAAGGCAGAGACATTTTGGCGGGCGGCCTCTCAGCTTGAGCTGGCAAAACGTGACGGAAAATCACATTCCTTAAAACTCACCCTGCCAAAAGTGCGCACTCTAATGGGCGAAGTCTGCGTTGCGCTGAAGCTTGCCCACCGCTGGCGTGGATTTAAATATCTTTGCTCTTGACACTCGGCCGCATCATGGTTGGAGCGTTGCGACAATGTATTACAAGAAATGCCAGTTCCCACGAATTCACCGACGAGTAGAATCAACCGGAAACGACTGCTGCGAAATTGCTGCTTTAAGTTCTGACAAGTCCTTGCAAGGCCCTTGCTGGGCGCAAATGGGCATGTGCCCTCACGACCTCCTTGTGCGGTGGCATTGCGGAGACACAGACGTCTCCCTGGCAACACTAGAAGAAGCCACGCCCAAGGAGTGATTTCGTTCGGTTTTACAGTTTGTGGAGTTAGCTGACTGACATGGTCGAAAAAATTGCAAGTGTATGCAAGTGTAACATTGTTAACATAAAAATCTGCAGGAGGCAGTTTCAACGGTGCGCGAGGCCGATATGAAGCTGCCCAGCCGTGTGGGGGGCAAAGCGCCGAAGCTGCCTGCCTGCGCTGCTTGGAGCACAATGGCTGAGATCGAACAGAAAGCTCGACAACGTGCCGAGAACAGAAAGAAGAGAAAGGCTGAGAGAAAAGCTGATGCTGACGAAGGGCTCCGGAAACTTCTGAAGTCACCTTGAGCGAGTAAGACAAAAATCTTGCAGCTCGGGTGGTTAACCATTCATACGTTTTTAGTTAACGATTCAGACGCTTTTAGTTTACGATTCATGGTTTTGGTTGACGACTCATGGTTTTGGTTGGCGATTCACGTGGTTGACGATTCAGACGTTTTTGGTTGACGATTCACACGTTTTAGTTGACGATTCACTTGGTTGTCGATTCAGTCGTTTTGGTTTACGATTCCTACCTTGCCCCAAACCGTAATGTTTTGGTCGAAGGAGCTGCGTTGCCTTGTTAAGCAGGTGAAATGATTCTGTATAGTTTGCTCCAAATATTTTTGCAAGTGGTTTGATTCATTCAAAACATCTCCACTAAACAGTCTCTTGGACACTCTAAACCATGACGGATCCATGCGCATGGACATGGACCAGGCCAGGCTGTTTTCTTTGAACGACTAGGCTATGAGGCGAGCCTGTTTTTTCCTTTCATATGCACAGAACCAAACCCTCACAACCAAACAGCATTCTGAAGAGCTCTTTCCGCGTATGATTCAGCCTCTACCCGGAGAATCCCCTGGTCACATGTTGGGCAGCGAAGATCATGTTCAGCGCCACTGGCCACCTGGTCAGGATCCGCGCGTCCATGTTTGGGAGGAGCCGCAGGCGATCGGCGGGGTCTCGCCTTGAGAAACAGAAGCATCGAATAGTTGGCTTATCCATTTTCATCCTCATGTTCATTGCAGGCCTGCAGACAAGTAAATAGATATGTTTACTGTATCCGCGAGCTTCCATGCAGCCCCTCCTAATTCAAGGGTATTATATATATATATATTGACAAAAAGTGCTTTGGACGCAGCAGGGAGTCCCTGGACAACTATGTAGTCCAGTGGAGTGTGTGTGTATATATATATTTTGTTTTTGGTTTATAGGGAGATAAACAGAGTTTCTTCCACTTCTAACTTAAAAACTCCATTGATTTGTTTTGATGACCAGTGTCGACAGTTCACCATGTAGTTCGAGGTTTGGGCTTTTGTAGAAAGGACTTCAAAATCCATCGTCCAAACGATGTTTCCCTCGCTGAATGCAGATGGGAGCTGGACATGCAGGAAGAACATCTTCAGCTTCATCAAACTACTGTGGACACCTGTTGTTTTGCAGTCCTTGAAAGGTTTTCTTCAACTTCACAAATCCCGTTATGGATGTTTTCCTTGTTTTGTTTGTTTTCTCCCAGTGGGGTGCAACTTGCAACCCGCAAGCCTTGCACGCCACCGGCAGTGAGGCTTCAGTTCTTGAAAACAGCCGGCACAGCCTTCAGTGCCATGCGTCTTTGAGGATGCCCAGCTTCTTTCCGTCGTCGGATTGTACATCCGTGACTCGCGAGACGGCCGACCGTTGTTCCCCACCGAAATGCCATAGGCGGAGGCTCTGAACATGGACCTCTCTGCCCCGAGTGAGGCGGAATCGTTCTCGCGCGCGGAATCGTTACACGGCCGAGTCGTTGGGCGGGACGTGAATGGAGGAAGCTTAAGGAATTCTCACCCGTCTTCTGAGGGGATTAACCAGATTCAGTGCTATCCAAATTGGTTCTCCAATGCTGGCGTGTTTTTCTTCACCGGTCTGAAGAGTCAGGGACCTCCATTATAGGGGGAATCCAGGCAGACCAACTGGGAGCCGTTTCTGAAGTGATCCCATTTCTTCCAGCTGCCGATGGCCGTAGCTGCTGCGTCCAGCTCTTTGCCAAAGGATGAAGTGTTTCGCATCCAGTTCTTGGACCTCGGAACACTTTGAGAAACATTCATCCATTCAAATCCCAGACGCTCCGTGGGACTGCCATATATGCCAACATTGACCCCCAAAACCATCCCTGGCCTGATCGGCAGTCCTATGGCAGTCCCATGGAGCGTTTGGGGTCGGTGAATTCGTTTCGTGCTTTGCAGTCGACCTGGAGCCGCCCAACTGTTCATATCAACACCGGCCATGAGTCTATCGCAGAGCCCTGCGCCGTCTCAACCGCCCACCGAGTCGGATCGACCATCCGAGTCTTTGAGTCGAGTGCGCCGCCGAGTGGGAGGGCGATGGCGCCCCGTGGAACGATCCGAAGACCCAAGTCCTGGTGCCATCCACGTCACTGTCCGGTATTTCACGCCTCTTTCACCCCAGAAGCTGGGCTCCAGCTTCTCTTTCCTTTCGGCTCGGTGTGACTGGGCAGTCGGGTCCAGACCGAACCGGAGGGTTCGGTACGGCTTGAGAAGTCCATGCCGACTCCCCTAGGCACGCATCCTACGGAGTGACTCGGATCCATCAGTGGTGACGGTGACGTGGTCCCCTTGGGGAGAACTATATTCCCATTGACGATGTTCTGCAACGTGCGGGATCAACTAAAATCAACTGAGACACCATTGGAAATCTGAGCCAAGTTTTGAAGGGGTTTAGTTACGTTTTTGGTTGCTGGATCTCCAAATGTGATTCTCAAATGGGCCTGGGGTATGATGCTTGACAACTTGTGCGGCTGGTATCAAGAGTCAGGGTGGCTTCAGAGACTAGCAAACACCGAACCAGTGGTGACAAGCAAACACCGAACCAGTGGTGACACATGATTTTCTGGGTGTTTAGCCCTCCAGCAGAAGAGGCTTCATGGAATATCTTGTGAGGAACAGTGAGTCAGCTGCACTTGAAAGCCAAACTCGACTTGACCAGAGACTTAGACGACGGTAAGTCACACCAGTGGACCATCCGCGCTTGGATGCTTCGAAAGACTTGGAGCAGTTTGTTGAGTTAGTTTGGCTGTGGGTAGTTAGACTTGGGAGATCTCAGTTGACCACAGAAATCAAAAGAATGGACTACTGAGCTCCACCTACCGGGGGTTTTCAAGGTCGCCGGGGAGCGGAAATGGGGTGTTCTTTGAAACGACCTGGTTGCTTTATCTTGCTTTCATGATCCTCTTCAACTGCGCGGATTGGTTTCCAGAACAGAATCCTTGCACCACCGCGACACGTGCGCGCCCGTGAGTCTTCCGTTGGGACCAGCCAGGTGACCAATTCTGCCGCACTTGGAGAGTAAGGGTAACATCCACGTCTACGGTCTACGGGGTTTGATCACCACCCCAACATGGAACTGCTGGTACAGTGTTCCTTCAGGTATTCTCAGGTGCACATGGCACTTGAAAAGAACCCCCGCGAGCGCCAACGAAGCATGTTGGGTGTGTAGACACTGCATGTGTTGACCGCTGCGACAAGAAAAGTGGCATGCAATGCACGTAGACCGTTGAACCGCTGCAACGTCATACGTCTCCGTGACCTCCATTGGACCAAGGTCAGATCGTGCAGAGATTGCGCGAACTTGAAGGCCATCATCCCGTCCTCATGATCCTAGACGATCTGGACCCCGGCGAGTTCGCCGTTCTTTCCGTTCTGATTCCGTGGTTTTCATCGGGTCGCCGGGGTTTGTTCCGGTGGGAGGTGTCTTGGGAGATGAGGAGAAGCACGGAATTCAGGTCCTTCTCTTTTGCGCGGCGCAAGCCCATCCCTTATATCAATTCTTGGTTGCCCATGTTGCCCACACTGGGCACTCGCATGACGTGATCCCCACCAAGTCGTAGCTCTTTTGAACATGTTTGAACGTCAAGTCGTTCAATATGACGCACGTTCGGCACCGGGCAGACGCACGTGGCCCAGACCTTGGGTCTGGCAGATTGAACTGGGGTGGTTGAAAAAGGGATCTAATGGTAATCCTGAGCTGGTCAGTATACTTGATCTACAGTATACTTTGTCATACTTTGAATCTTACAAGACCATGATCTCTAAGTTTTATACGGTGATTTCCAATTACTTGAGGTATGGCATGTGGGTACCATGTCAGGGTTCTCATGTCACCGGAGCCTTCTTTGCGCATTCTTTTTGTAAAATCTGAGGCTCCAGGATTCACTCGAGATGAGGTTTGAGCCGGTCCTGTACATATCCCCATGCAGATTTTTCGTGGCAGGCGCAGCACTTTGTGAACCTGCAAGCTGCAGTCGCATCAATTTGAATTTGCGCGTAGTGCACATTTCGTGGCAGATGCAGCACTTGTGGCTCTCATATGTGTACTCTCACGCGTGTGCATTGTTATGTGTGCTCATATACTCATACATGTGCTCACTCATACCTGTGCTCTCATTTGCGTGCTCTCACAAAGGCAGACATTTGGAATACCCAGACACTCCATGGGACTGCCACGGCCAATATGCCTACATTAGGGTGGTGCCAGGGGGGTCTGGCTTGATCGGCAGTCCGTCCTGGCAGTCCCAGACGGGTCGTGTCGATCCAGGTCGATCATTCCCAGTCCATCCGGGCGGACCGGGGCCAGACCCGTCTGGGTGGGTGATGCAGCGGTGAAAACACTCTCGGACGGCCGAAGCAGGATTCGTTGATGGGCGAGAACCTGGAGGAGTTGAGGACGGAGGGGGGTGGCACCAAGACCTGAGTAGTTGGAGGAAGCAGAACTACAGATTTCTGCGTATTTGATTCGAGACAGGGTTCGATGCTAGTCTACTACAGGTGGGAGTGGAATGTCACATGATCTGGGAAGTGTACTGTACAGCCCAGACACTCCACGTATGGAATGTATGCCTACATTGACCTTCCAAACCGCCAATGTAAGTAAACCTGCCATACGCGGACTGCTTGGGTGATGCTGTTCGCTTTGAAGGAGCGAGAGCTTGGACCGGTCCGTTCATGGCAGGGGTCACCATCGTGAGGAAGCGTGAAAAGAGATGGATCGTTGTCACCCCACGTAGGGCATGGTCAGAGACGGTTTAACTTTTTTTGTAGAGAGATGGAGAGAATGGAAGCTCGAAGGTTCTTGGGTACATTATGGCAATAATATGATACGTTATGCCGCATGCGCATGCCATGTTATGCCAGTCTGGTACGGTTTTTTGGATGCGTTCCTTTATCACATGACCTTCTCCATTATCCATTTCACCATCCATTCACGTTCCCTACGCTCAACCTGTGCGGAACTTGGCACTCGTGGGGTTCCAGCCGGACATGTGGCATTCCCTACGCTGTACGCGCCCGGAGTCCTTACACAGCAAATGTTTGTAACCCTTAGAGGAGTCCTTCTACACAGCACTTGTTGGGTTAACCCATGGTTAACCCCAAAAGTTGCTGAATGATTCACTGAATGACGTGAGGGCTGCAGAGTACATTGACCATTGCAGGGTTCAGAACCTGGTTTCTGACCACAACCACGGGTGTCCTTTCCCTATGGATCCACATACTCTCTTTTTGGTACGGTGAAGAAGGACTCTCTTTAGATCCTTTCTGAGGTACGGTGATGTGGATCCCAACGGGGCCCTGTGTGTTCACCTGCCGGCCAGCATCTCATCATACCATGTTTTGTGTGCTGTTTTCATCTCCGGGAGTTGTCTTCAGAGTAGGTGTTTTTTGCGAAAGACTCTGTTTGGTCAATGAATAAAGCCACCTTCGAATAGTTTAAGTAGTGTTTTGAATACATCTCCGTATAGTCTAGTTTAATCAACAGTCTACCTTTTAGTCCACAGTAGATGGAGAAAATATATCAAACACTGCCAACTCAGCCATCCACGTCGGCTCATGCGTGCTCCACCGCAGCATGCGCGAGAGCTCTGAACGGCAAAGGAAGATCTTGACGGAGTTGCTCCTGCGCACGGAACGACTGGAGCTTTTGCTCAGCGCTCGTCAGGCGGAAACTCGGGAACTGAAGGGAACCCCGTGTGAATTTACGTGGGTTTGGGGGTTGATTGATCTAATCTCTGCATGGACTTGCTTTTGGAGAAACCTTGTGATCTCCGTGAAGCCATGAGTAACTGAGTAACTAGATCTTTTTTGCATAAACAGATCCAGTAGAATACAGCCCTTGACCTGTAGGATGATGATTGGACACTGGCTACGGCTAGCATCCGATTCATCTCTAGTTGATCGTTTGGGGTGTCAAAGTTGGGGAAGGTATCGAGATGGTATGTAACTGGAGTGGCTGCGGTTTGGATCGGCATTCTTTGAAGGTATAACATCCCCACAAACAGTTCCGGCAGTGAATGATGGTTTTTGGTTATATGGGCATGCCGCCTGAATCTATAGGTACAGTATAGTTGGAGTCGACTAGACCCCGGTCATTTCTTTCCTCTACCAGGAAGGGGGTGGGTAGCCTCCTGTTGGCCATTGCGCCTCTGCCAGGGTCACATCCATTTGTATCTGGTCATCTCAGCTGGGTTCAAAGTGGAATCATCGTTTACACCAGTTCCCTTCGCGATTTCGAAGCTCCAGAACTGACAACACTTAGTCACCCCAAGATCGCGTTGAACGATGTTGAAGGACCGCTCCGGTGAATGACCATCTACCTCCGAATGAAGAGAACTCCGAACCAAGTGATTCAGACCCGCCATGTGCATTCAGACTCCCAACCGAGCCAAGTGATTCAGACCCGAACCAAGTGGGTCCAGCCTTTCCCATCATTCTTTTCGAACCCAGCGCACCGATCCAGCCAGTGGGACAGGCTCCGTTTCAGGCATTGGGCGCGCACAAGGCGGGTGAGGATCAGACTCAGGGCGAGGGCGTTCGGTCGTTGCTAAGGTGTTGCTTGTGTTCTTGTTTTTTTCCTTTCGGACTTCATTCCCTACTACCCTACCAACACTTGACTCTGCACGTGTCTGAAATACCTGAACCCATGACTTTTGTTTTGATAGAAAGAGTCTGAAGGTTGAACGTTTGATAGTCATTTGAGTCACAGAACTTCACAGAACACACGGGTCCAAGGAATGTTCCGTCCGTTCAATGTTAACGCAAGGGCGGATTTTGTTTGGTTCCATCACAAGTGTTTGGAGGGTCAAGTCCCACATGGTCAAAAGATAGGCACAACACTTTGAAGTAACGTCTTTGGAGTCCCTGTTTGTAGCCTTTCCCAGACACTCCATGGGACTGCCATATATGCCTACATTGGGGTGGTGCCAGGGGGGGTCAATTGATCGGCATATATGGCAGTCCCATGGAGTGTATGGGTTTTACGGGCCTGTGACCGTGACTAAGTTGTGACCGAACCCACCAGAGGATCAAAAGGCATAGCTGTATTGCTAGCCCAATGGTTGGGCGTCCCATCATTTTGACAACCCCTCCCATCCATGGAAAGAATGCAGACTCATCCAATTCCAGAAACGATCGTTTTTTTGGGTCATTTCCATGTACTGCTTTGTTTGATTCAGAAGATTCTCATGTCAGGTCTGCATTAATAGACCTTTATCCTCTTTATCAGACTTGGGGTTGTTAGGACAACTCTCTCTCTCTCTCACTTCTCTCTCTCTCTCTCTTTGTCTTTCTCTTAGGTTGGAGGCCATCGCTAGTAGGTTGGAGGCCATTACAATTGGGTTGGCCTCTCTCTCTCTCCTCTTTCTTTTTGTTCCACTCGCAGGATCTCATAGGTGTGTCACCACGAGATCGTCTCTCTCGTAGCCATGTGGGAGCGACTTCGTGGGCTCTTTTTCTTTGAACGAGTTAAATATGAGTATGTACATGACATGATCATACAGTATAGCTCTGAGGATTTAGACTTTGAGACATAGCTCTGAGGATTTTTGAAATAGCCCTGACCTGTCAACAGACAAATAGGCTGATGCAGTTCCTAAATCATACATGTACTCATTTGTATTGCCGACCCATCAGCCTCCAGGCTTCCCCTTGTTTTCTGAGCAATTGCCAAGCATTTTGATCAGGGAATCTGAGGGTAGAATGGCACATTTTCGGTACGAGGTTTTGGCACAAGCTCTTATTGGGTACATTTTCCGCTACGATCACACTGCTGTTTAAACGTTTGATAGACAGCTGTGGTAGGACAGCAACCATGCTGCATGGTCGAAAGGCTGTTGACCTGTCTCTCTGGGGTGATGCCACGGAACGAAGGGCGGCCTCATCCTATGACCACTTTCGACACCAGATGGACCTATGACTGGTCGCCCTGTTCCTCCTCTCCATGTTCCAAGATACGCTTCTTTGGGCGACCACGGAGCCGGGGATCTGCCAGGTGGTGGGCTACCAGTTGGAGCCTTTGCAACCCTTGGATGCAGCACGTTTGTTTTTGCCACTGGGCAAAAGGTGAATCAACAAGCCCCACGACCCTGGGACTGCCAGACTGCCGAGAAACGGCCAGGGGTGGTGCCAGGGGGGTCTATTGATGGGCATATATGGCAGTCCCACGGGTCGTGTTTGGGAAGGGGTGCTATATTGATTCTTGGATCCTGGCCCCTACGTATTAATCTCTGACTCAAGTACATGATCCGGTCGCTGTGAAGACGAGTGAGTCCTTCCAATCACTGAAACCGAGCTCTCCATGTTAGCCAAATCATTCACGAGAGAAGCGTAACGAATGGCCTTGATCTGCCAGTGGAAGTGAACCTGTTGGGGTGATGTGGCTCGTCCCATCCAGGGGCTGTGACAGGGGCACCCAACTCCTTCCTCCATGGATAACACCACGACATAGAACTGATAGTAGGTCTTTTTATTGGGGCTGCCTACTAGACTGGATCTTTGGACATGTTTGTGTGTGTGTGACATAGACCACATAGATCGGCTGAATAAAAACACCCGCCAGTCAAGGAATCTATATGAGACATATGGTTCAACATATAGTTTGTTAAAATAATCGCATGGGTTGCAACATCAAGCCTGAAGAGAAGACTGCAACTCACGATTGGGGCCGCTCTTTACCTCAAAAGGAGCAGGCATGAGGTATATAGAGAAGTAGCCAGAGTAGCAGTAGCCAGGCACGCCTGCCAGGGACCAGAAGTCCCTATCTGACCCTAGCCTTCAAAGACCATTATAAGAAGAATGGTTTGTAGAATCCTTAATAAAATCAAAGGTTGTTGGAATCGAAGTGATTCGAACTGAGCTGAACACACCGTTCTGCGAGTTTCCCAACATCCCGAAGCTCCCCACGGTCCGCGCCGCTCGGGCCGTGCCGTCTTCGACCGCGCCTCTCGCCCTCGCGCGGTCGTCGCCTCTCAGATGGCGTGTGCATCGGCCCCTGGTCTTCGCAGACTTCTCAGTGCCCTGGAGACTGACCGTGTCGGTGGAGTCGAGTCTAGTACCCCACGATCCATGGGTCTGGCATATTCACATACACTATCCATTGGGGTGGTTGAAAAGGGGTGATTGCGTGATACTCCAGTCCGATGGAGTGTTTGGGGTATATGGAGGAGTCGTTGGATCGAATCGTTTTTGGTGAGAGCATGTCCTCCTTTCATCTTATTTCCCAAACCCAAGAAATGGAATTCTTGAGTGTCTCCCTTTTTGAACGTGTCTTTGCGCTTTTTATTGATGGAGAGGTTGAGAAGCTCACTCCCCACTGATTCAATCTGATTCACTCCACTCACTCGGCACTGTGTACTGGATAGTGCAGGAGAAAGTCATCAGCAGTAACAGTGACACTTGGCACCTGTGCCGATCAGACAAAAACATGGTAACGAAGCTTGTCTGTGGGGGTCGATGCCAACCACCACAACCTTGTAATCGTTGGGATTAGGGAACATCAACCGACGGATAGACCATCCTCAATCCTCTCATGTCTTTTCGGATACCGTCCCTTTCAACACACCAGTCCCAGACGCTCCATGGGACTGCCATATTTGCTTACATTGACCCCAGGTCAACCACCGAAACTGATCAGCAGTCCTATGCCAGTCCCATGGAGTGTTTGGGAGTGATGTGCTCCGTCCTCTCGTGCTCCGTCCCTTTCGTCCACGTACGTCTTTCGGGGGGCCGTCCGACGTCACCGTTCACTCCTTTCCGACGTCCTGGGCCGCCGCGGCCCACCGGGCGAGCGGGTTCCGGTGCCTGCGCAGTATCCGAGACGGCGGGCGCCTGCGAAGCGGTGGAGCAGTGGGTCACCGCAGCTTCGATCCCGTTGAGGTGGCTGTGGGCCACCGCACACGCACCGGGGCGAAACGAATGTTGACGTGTTGGTGAGGACGAGAGCTGGTCGAAGGCGAACAGGGGCACGTCGAACACAACAGAGATCATCAGAGATCGATTGCGGCTGCGAACGCAGCGGGTCAGTTGCCCCTGGCGACATCTTCCTGTCAGATGCAGTGGCATCACGTCTTCCGAGTCTTCCTCCAGCGTTCAGTTGTCAACATGCCAGGGGGCCGATCCTGACTTGCAGAAGTCCAACCCAGGATTATCCTGAAGGGGACAGGGGTCCCTGTGGTGCCAGAGCAAGCCTCCCCAATCGCTGGCCGAGCTTCTTTCGTCAGGAACCTCACGACACGCACCGCAGAACTGACCCGGCCCCGGCAACCCCCCGGAGCTGGCCGCGGAGCGGTGCGCGGTGCCGCGTACCGCGGAGCACGATACGCAGCGACCGCGAAGGTCTGTGAGACCTGGGAGTTTGGGGGGGAGCGAAGCGAAAAGCAGATGGGATATGTGCCCTGCGATGAGGGATCATGTGGGATTATCTGCGCCGATATACGAACGCAACACGCTTCTTCATCCTTCTGGGGAGCTTTGACGATGTGGTGATTCCCAAATTTCAATACACTAAACCCCTATATCAGCACCAACTCACCAGCACCTGTTAGGGCCCTTCCCCACCCTCCAAAGGAGACCAGTTGGAAGGTGCTGGTATAGAAGTTCTTTTCACGGACGTCCACACCAGAACCACCAGAGAGAGGTCAAAAGTCAAAAGGAAAAGCTATATCAAGTGGCATGTGGGGCCCATGTCATGTAGAAACCTCCACCACTCCATTCCAAAGGGAAGCCATTTGGACAGTTTCAGTCAAACATGGGCATGTATGTCCTCCGCGCTCGGCCGGCGCCGCGCACGGCGAAAACACCCTCCGTCGCCTGCGCGGCTGCTCGGTCGCCTCAAAGGTCCTACCTGGAGATGATGCCCAGGCGGTTTGGTCAAGATGCTTTCAAAGGGAGGTGTCTCTGGAGTTATTGCATGTCATTACCAGAGACTGGGGTTGGCATGGGTTGGCTAGAAGTGATTGAATGGTGTGGTGTTGTTGGTTTCCTCTTGTAGATTGTCATCCTTGGACATCTCCTTTTGTGAACATGACTGCCATCTTCGAACGACACCAGACCGACCAGACCTGAGTGCTCACCTGACCTGGGTGGTTTCTCAGGTTCCGTCCTACCAGCATCCGTCGTTCACAGGTGTCTGGAAGTCCCGGATAGTAGTGTAGAGGGATCGACAGGACACCAAGACGGTCGGATGGTGCTCATTCTACCTGGAATGTGGATGGTTTGGTTCCGTGGCACAAGTCTTGTCGTGGGATTCAGCGGTTTCCGTGGGATTCAGCGGATACCCTTACTGGACCCTTGACTCTTATCCCAATGATTGTTTGGCAAAAATTGGCCAACCCTTAACCCTAAACCATCACTCAAAAGTTTGTGCCAAGAGTCTTGAGGGAAATGTACATTCATTGATTGATGTACACTGTGTGTAATATATATATATATATTTCTTGTCTGGTTGCATTCGCCTGACCTTGGGCTTCAGCCGGGCAAGGTTTATGTCCCTTCAACTTCATAGCAAGGCCGCCTTGGTTGGCTTTGGAGTCCTTTCTTTTGGCTCAGTGGATTTGTTCATGACGATCCCCTTATCAGACTTGCCTTGTGCGGCGCGTGCAGGGGCCATCAAAGATGCTGCCCCTGATCATGAATGCGCAGAATCGAGGTGGATGGGTCAGGGGCGGAAGGTGGATTGAAGGGTCATGTGGGTTATGTGCTTTCCAAGATTGTATGGTCATGTGAATTGATCTCAAAAGGTTTGTCGTTTTGCATGGCGTCAAGCAACAAGCTGCTCATCAAAGTGGAAAACCATGGCATTCTCACTAATTTCATCATGGACGTGGCCATTCTTGCCCGAAGGAGGAGTAAGTTAATCTTTCGACCTTTGGGCAATGAGATGGGAGACTAGTCTGACCGTCTAAACATCCAAACACCGGCTGAGGCAGCTTCTGCTGCATGCATCTGGTGTGACTTGTTGCCTGATCCTTATAAGATCTTATAAGTACAAATGACCACATGCGGTCTTTATGATTGGTCATAAGACTGAATATCCGGGGCCGCATAGAGATAGACCGGAACATGAACTTATAGACAAAAAACTGGTAATAGCTGATATATCTCGCTGGTCATTCCTGTCCTGTGAGCAGTCCCTGTTCTCAACTTGTTCTCGCCTTGTATGCGAGTCGCGCTAGCTTTGCTGACTCTCTCGGGGATCGAGACTATCCTCGGGTGACTCGGATGGTAGACATCGCCATCGGAGGAAGTTACGAGACTACAAAGCCAGGTGCACTGGTCTTTCTGGCGTGTTCAGAACTGTGCGTTTGGGAAGCTTCTACAATGGCCCAATCAGTTTGTACGGAGAATTTCACCCGGAGGATAGGCCAAAACCCTAGAAGAATGAGCTGATAGACCACGATCCTCAAGCAAGATGGAGATTCTTGTCGCATTGCCGGTGTTGCCGTGCTCCCCCCGGCCCAGCCGTCGCAGTCGCAGGCGTGCTGCTTCAAGAACTTTCTGGCCATCCGCTGCTGCAGCGGCTGCCTGAGAAACCACCACCTGGTGGCAGGAGTGGACCAGAGGACCACCCAAATAGGTGGAGGAAATCCACCTCACGGGAGCACCAGGACTTGCAAAGGACAAGGAAGTATGGTTATAATGTACGGTGTATAACCCAGACACTCCATGGGACTGCCATGGGACACTGCCTGGGGGTAGGGAGTGTCATGGCAGTCCCATGGAGTGTCTGGGTATAATATACCCCACAAGTCCAAAGACCATTGCCATGGCAACAGCGAGGCATCCTTTTTATGATTTTTATGGATCACCTAACGGCTATTAAAAGAATGGGTTTTGGACTCCCAGAGTATGCGCAAGTGATAGGTGGTTGTTATGTGATACGTATGTTTGTAATTTGATTGGCCACTGGAAACTAGGAAACTTCCATAGCTTGTTTCCCACTCCATAGGACTGGAAGATATGCATTGACGCCTCAAATCAATCACCCACCCCTGGCGACGGACCGAGCGACACTCCGAGACAGGTCGTCGGTCTCCGCTCGGGCCCGGTGAAAAACGCGCATTCAAGGCGCGTCCTGTTTTGCGGCGACCTCAGGTGGTGTGGCGGCTGCCCGGGTCATCTACGGGCACCTCGGTGTCGAAGACTGGCATAGACTGCTGGCATCTTGCTGTGTTGAGGAATTCAGTGGATGGCATGGGAACCTGTAAAAATGGATGGCTTCCAAGCTGGGCAGGGCACCTGTCGTGCTTCGTGTGAACAGGATTTCTGATTGCTTCGAGACGAAAATGTCCACCGAAGTCACCTGGGTGGTTTCTGTGGACCCAGGCCGCTGCAGACCACGTGTTGCCCGGCAGCGGCACCTTATGGGATGCTCGGATTGGACGGCGGATGGAGGACATGGAACACCACCAGGGAGAAGAATCAGCACCAGGGATGTGTGTGGGCATTCCAAAGCAAGGGTTGCAGCCAGGGGGACGGATGCCGGTATCAACCGCGCGGTTGGTAGAGCAAGTGGAGCAACAGACCAGTTGAGCAAGTTGGATTGATTTGTACAGGCAGAAACTCCATTCCGCCCCTTGTTCTTCTATACCTACCGTTCATTTGGCCAGATGTCCGAGGACATTCACCAGCTCTTGCAAGCGAAAGCTGAAAGTGGTGAGTGGAAAAAGGTAGAAAGTGGGACAGACGATTGAGGACGATTTCTTGAGATGATTTCAGCACATTACACTTTATTAATACATTATATATAAATTATATATGACTTTCATCGCTCTTGGGTTGGAGGCCATTGCTGGTAGGTTGGAGCTGGAGGCCATCGCTACTAGGGTGGCCGCCATCGGTATTAGGTTGGAGGCCATAAACATTATATATGGTGCAGTCTGACAACTGAAGACTGAACACATCACCACTTCCACCACTTTCTTGTTTGACCCTGCATGCTTGTGGCCACTGCATGTGTCCGGCTTTACCTAAGACCAGCGGTTCCACCTAAAGGAGCATTGTCACCACATCCAGTTGCTAACAAGCCTTTGTTGACAGAAGACGAAATGTGGCAGATTCTTTAGGCAAAAGCCAAAGACCGGCATAGCACTCTCAAAAGCCAGCATTTTGAATGCAACAGGGAAGTCATCGGTCGCTTTGATTAGGGAGATTGAGCCAATACAAGATACCAGGAGATCCAAGGCGACAAATAGTAGAATTGACTGTATTGCTCATCAGCAATGGGCCTGTGTCGTTGTGTGTGCGGCGTTTGCGCATGTCTTTTGGCTGTTCCATTGCTTCTGATTTGCAGCGTTTGCATTCCTGAAGTGGAACGCAACTTGTCGGCACTGAAGTGCAACTGGCGATGGACCACACGGACCATTCGATGCTTTAGACGGACCAGTCTTCAGATGTGTCATGCGGATGTGTCATTCTGTAGTGACGTATGCTTCTACCCTTTCTCGGCCTATTTACAAGAGTGCAGTGTTGCCCTTGTGCCGTCCATTTGGATACATTGGCACCATCCAAGTTGCATACATCCGATTCGTAGAGACCTATGCAATCTCTATTCCTCCATTGCGTTTGATTCTACTGATCCTGGGACAAGTGCCTCGAGTCTGGGAGCACGGTCACTTGGCCGGTGTCGGTGTCGGTCGTGACTGGGAGAGTCGTGCGGGTCGTGCTTCACGCCTAGCAGTTCGCTACGCCTCGCAAGGCCAGGCGCAGCTGTCGGTCGCCTCTTATGATGCGAAGAAATGTCTTTGAGAAAAAGAGTGTATACCCTCCCTCAAACAATCATGGAAGCTGAGCAGACCCCCCTTGTAGAGGACAATTGGTCTTCCAGGGGCCTAGGTTCCACTTCCATGATTGTTTCAGGGAGTGTAACAATCTTCCCTTTTTCGAGACGAGAGGCGGGATCAGGTCCACCATGCTTGCACGATGCTTGCAATTGACATGCCTCGAGCGGCGGCTGCTTGTAGTTGTTATTTGTTATCGCTGAGCTGGGGCCAAAACCCTGATCACTGATCCAATCCATTCCAATCCGATTGTTTCAGTATGTTGGTTGATTGATAGGTATTCCCCCAATCAATGGAATTTACGAATGGCAACATGTTTTCAAAGTATATGTTGTATATATGTGGTGGGCCCTCTCGTATACTGGTTGTTTCACAGGCCTATCAAACCGCTGGTTTCACCATCCCATCGAATCAAACCTGTCAAACCCCTGTTTCTCACCAGGCACTGCCTGGCAGCGCGCCCATTCCAGGTCCACTTGGAGTCGGTCCTGTGTGGAATCCGCGCATAGTCTATGCAGTCAATGGCTATGAGACTGGGATCCTTCCTTGTCGAATCCTCAGTTCAGAGAGGAAGCATGTTTTTTCCGAGTGATGAATTGGGATGGTGATTGAAATGTGTCGACTGCCTGGTCATTTTAGAGTTTTTAGAGAGTCATATAGAGTCGAGTCATGTTAGATTAGTTAGATTCTACATAAATTAACGTTTGCATGGCATGTTTAATCTGTTTGAATCCCTAGAATCTCTTGCATTTCTGCAAATGTCATGTGACGAGTGCTGATGGCCTTTGCTCAGTTCCAAACCCAGCGAACTTCACGCGTGGCTATATGCTGGCGCGGGTCAGCCATGAGCAGGTCAGGGCAGTGCACCACAATCCGTAGCGCGGAGGAATCGTGATGTTACCTTTGTTGCACCGACAAAAACCTTCAGCGTTGGACAAGCAGATTGTGGCAGATTGAAATTGGCTGAACCCTTGAGATTCTTTTGAGCTGGTGATTGCATGTGATTGCTGGTCCTGTTTCAGTGCGGTATATCTCAGAGCACCCCGTTGGAATGTCCATTGGAATGCGCCAAGGCACTTGAAGCGAGACGCGAAGCGGTTTATTGGCGTCGAGACCGCCAAGGTTCCGAAAGGCCAGTCGACGCGGGCGTGAAAAGAGAAAAACAAAAACACCTTATTTTGGAAAACAACAGCTGTGTGTCTTTCTATGTGTTTTCTATATGATTTATGTTTACGTTATGTTCTTCATGTTTTCCGAAACAGAACACACATGTGACATGGACGTGGCAGTTCCACCCATATTAGCAATCATAGATGGTGACACTGGAGTCTACTCGTACCATTGTGACAGCAACTATAGTTTGCCTTGTAATTTTGTGGTGTTTGCCAATGTATAGGCTACTTCTCAGAAGGAGTACTGCCTACCCTCCTTCAGTGCCGTGGCACAAAGATATTAAGGCTGTTTCCTTGATGTTTTCTTGCATGCATTTGTTTGTTGCAGTCTTAAGATCATATCATACACAATACAACTCCTGGAGTTTGCAGTGCTATGATTCCATACTTGATTCATATTGATTCTAGTTGATATTATATTGAAATCTAACACTGGAAAGTTGGGCTGCGTTGAAGTTTGTGATTCTTTCAGTGATGATTTATTTGGCCGGCACATCCTGCTCAAATAGCCATTGAAACCCCAAGTGAGCCGCACACGTTCGAGCAAGTGATCCAGGTTTGCCCACAGCACCAATAACAACTGCCATGACTGCTATGCCAAACCAAGGATGAACACTGATGATCCGCTGCGATATGCTCATCGACGCCCGGTACAACGGAAGTAAAGACCATTAAAAACCGGTTCAATTAGTCATTTCTTGAGTGTTTTGCGTAGTTTGATTCCATTTGGAAGATGACAAGTCTTCCGTGTTGCGATGGATATGTGTTCCCCTTAAAGGAGGTTGGTTAGCAATGGCATGCAGTTCTTCGTCCAACAATCATGGAAGTGGACAATAGACCATTGGAAGACCATGTCCATGATTGTTGGGGCGAGGGTACATTTGAGGGTTTCCATAAATGGGGAGACCCCCAAATCATCCATCTAATGATTGTTGTTTAATCATCCGTTTTGGGGCGCCCCCATGTATGGAAACCTCCATGGACATCGATAACCATTCCTTCACAATGTCCGCGAAGGATTTTGCATTATTTCTGTACATTGACAGTAAGATGGTCGATATCACAAGGTGAACACTAAGTGCAAGATAGGGCTAGTATATGCTAGTATTTTGCTTAAAGTGACTTTTGATGTTCCCTATGGGTAAACTTAATCCCCTTCTGATGAATATGTTTTATTGGTTCCTGAAGCAAATGGAAGAAAAGTCTTGAAGTTATTTCAAAGCTGAGCTCATGTTGCCCTGAAACTGCCTTTGATCAATTGTTGTTTGTCAGATAGCCAACTGCACAGTATGTTGCAAACCCTGCTGCCACAAGGAGATCTATTGTCAGCTGCAATGCCTTCTATCGCTGAATACGTTGACTCTGTGCCTGAATTTAAACCTCTACCAGACATATCTCCAAAGGATTTGGTGCAAGACATTTCTTGGTAGGGGGCTCAGTCTCGGACCTGCCAAATTCACTGTGTGCTGCACAGGAATGTATTTGAGCTCGCTGTAGCTTCTGTGCACACGCCTCACCTAGCCAGGATAACTAGCCATGCCTCACCTCCACTTCGATATTTTTGAGTCAAAGTATGTTGGCATATGTCGGCCATGTTGATGTCCACCTCGTGGCTCTTTGAATCCCAACGCAAGGCATTTGAAGATCCCATTTCCAAAGACCGTCAGCACCATGGTCCAGAATCTCTTCGCCTTCACCTTTTACAGGACTCACAAGGGGAGATTGGCGGTCAAAACAAGGGGAGCTTGGTTTGTCCTACCAAAAACGAACAGAATGGACTGATTGGGGCACACCCAGGTGCCACCCACGAAGAACATGTGGGTCTTTCTTCAAATGACCTGCTCAAGAACATCCAGTCCATGTTGGGAATTCACCCCCCCCCTTCTGGGTGGACACCCATGAACTTGAGAAACAGGTGTACCGACCGATCTGGTGTCCCGTTTCGGCCCGAAAAGGGTGTGTTGCTGCAGATGTGGCCACGAACGCGCTTGCGTTCTTGCTCTTTGCAATGATTTCTGGTAGTGTGCATGCTTCCTGTGTTTTTGTTGCTTTTTCAGGCATGCCTTCGGTGTTGAGCTTTCGAATGCATCTTGGACTTATTGATTGATCTAATGGCCTTTCGATCTGTTATTTCGAACGGGAAGACATCGCCAGCGCGCTTGCGATTTTGTGCCAAGGACGAACTTCCCCTTTTGCGAGAATGGCTTGGAGCACCTTGCCACTTTTTGGAGCCCTTTCCTGTGGGCTTGGAGCAACCCTGAAAGCACTACGATGCTCCCACAACTCTGTTTTCAGATGGATAATTTCGATCATATTCTGATCAGTCTTACCAACATTGCCAGGAGCAATTCACTTGCGAGCACCTGCCTACCCACCTATCCAACGATCCACCTATTCACGATCTATTCACCCCCAAACCCACAGACTGACAGTTCATCAGTCCAATTCTTCACTTGCTGCCAATGACAGTCTTACTGTCCAGCCTATTTTCCCTTCGCTGCAGATACCTGGTAAGCTTTTCCTGGGCATGGTGTCAGAAGCTGGTGCAAAGCACTGTCGAGAACTTGCGAAGGCACAGCCAATCGCAGGATTCAAACATGATCGGCCGTGATCTAACCGTACTTTAGACAGCAGCTGAACGCTACAATCCTTTTGGCTTGTTTTGCACTCCCAATGATCCATAGGCAGTGACATGTCAAGAGAGATGGACATGAGAGATGGACATGGACATTCAGTGGACTTAGTGAGTTCGGTGGAAGGTCTTTGAGGACAAGGTGGCGGCCAGTGAGTTTGGCCAGCGTTTCATGCAAGAAGCTGAACGCAGAGGTAGGGTGAAGGAAGGGGGGAGCTCAAAGACATGTTGGTGGGACTTTTGTGTGGTGCTTGGCTGAGAATCGTTTTTTTTTTGTGTGTGAGTGTGTGTATGTGAGGCCTCTTAGGAGTTCAAGGATATGTAAATGCAATGAAATACATTGAAATAAGCTTATATAGTTATAACTATATATTATACTTATATGTGTGCGGCATGCATCGATGGCAAGTATCGCTTGTTACACAGAGCCTGGATGGTCGACCTTCTCAGAGTCGAGAGTCGGTCGACCATGCGAGTCGAGAGTCGTTCGTTCGTTCGGTCAGGCATGAATGGCATTGAGCGATTGCGGAAGACGGTCTTCGAATTTAGCTTTGCTGGATTTGGTGGAGATGGTCCTGGAGGCCAGAGGGACATGATTTTGTGGTGATCACCTTTGTTTTCTTTTGTGAATTGAAGCTGCAGCTGCCAAGCCTTGCAAACATTCATGAAGTGTATTGCATAAATAACAGCAGAGAGGTGGATATGTTTGATAGTTGAGTGACCAATTGGCGTTTGCTTTGTGATCGGTGCTGTAAGGTGCACTTGCAACAATGAAGATGCTCAGGCGCCGTGGACGATTGCTGTAGACGTTGTTTTCTCAGTGTATGCAAAATACGCAGCACACACACACATCCTAAGAACAAACTCATGAAGAAGAAATGCCTCACGCAATCTTCCAACGTGCAAATGGGGGTCATGAGGCTGAGGCCCAGAGGTTGCACACGCTGTCAGGTTCATTCAGAAATCGCCCGCGAAGTATGTACCTCTCTTCCAAAGGGATCCTGAAGCCTTTGTGCTGGAGGCCGATCGTTGATGTCGATGTCCACGTGCAGAGCGTTTCTGTCGAACAAAGCCGAAGGACCGACGAATGACCAAGCGACACGACCCGTCTGGGACTGCCATGCCGATCGACCCCCCCCTGGCACCACCACCACCCCCTGGCCGTTTTGAAGGCCGGCAGTCCCAGACGGGTCGTGGGGGATGTGAAACGGGTGAAACGGGTGAGTGAAGCTTCCGATGGTGATTGATGTCCTTTTCGCTTCCAAGCGAAGCGGAAACGCAGCGCGCAGGTGATCCGGATGCAAGGTGGTGGTGGAGCCGGAGTGAATCCATGGATCCTTGAGGCGACTCAGTCGCTCGGTTTTTGTGAAAACGGTCGTTTAACAAGCCGTGACCGGGGCTGTTCACGGCGGAAAGAAACGGTCAGCTGAGAACATAATTAGAACGCCCCTCAGGTTTGATCTGGTAAAATATGGGGTAAACAATCATGTAACAAGAAGCAAAAATAACAATCCCTCAACCACACGAAACAACTGAACAGTACTGAGAATGAGATGTTATTTTTGTTGATGTATACAAGTGATGTTCCAACTGCTAGCATCATCAGCACGAAAGGAGGCGAAATCGCACGAGCAACAACAGAACAAGAAAAACAATAGGAGCAGCAACAGCAACTGCAAAAACATCCGAAAATTGAGATTCGTTTTTGGTTTTGCTTGGATCTGACAACGCTTTTCCTGAGAGTCACCCACGAAAGTCATGTCAACCTGCGAAGGGTCTGACCTGCCTGTTTCCCCAGTTTGGCCAACGACCAGCCAATGTGGGCTCATTGGACATCTTATCATCTTGTACCCTGCTGCAGATTGGACCCAAACAGCCACTGAAACAGATGAGAACAGTCTTCCAAGTCGATCATGCACCATCCATGTGCTCCGGCCGACCAAGAGAAAGCGCCGGGGGTCGCTCTGCAGCGCCGGGCTTTCGGCTTGGGTCGGGACCTGCGGTCGGCTCGGTCGGTGCTGTGAGGGACCGCACGGTCGGTGCCTGTGGCGAACTCAGGACGTTCACGCTTGGCACTGGAAATGAAGTGACCGAATTTGCTGGAAGCTTGGCGAAGGTATTATCTGATAGTATGGGTGATTGTGAAAGTTTGGTTCTTTGCGTAGAAGAGATGGCGGCATATGGCGGTGCCAGTGCTTTTTGCCAGGCAATTATGGTGCTACTATTGCTCTACATGCGAATCATGATCCAGCCGTCTTTGGCGGGCCATCAGCAGATCAACAGTACGTTCCATGAACAGCATTTGTGTTCGTCTTCGCCGCGTTTGTTGTTGAGAATTGAAGTTGCTCAGGCTGCTTAATTAAGAGCCTCACTTTCTAACTTCAGTTGCTCAAGCTGCTTAAGTTTCTCAATTGAGACATACATCGCATTTCTCTGTGGGAGAGTCATTGTCTTTGCACTCCCTTGATTGGTCATGTTGTGAGCCGTCTTCCACTGTGACAGTTGCCTTTGTTCCGTCTCGTCATGTCTCGTCATGTCTCGTCCGGTCGGAGGAGACGAAGACTCGACAGTTGGCGGATGGATTCATGGATTCATGCATGTGAATGAACACTCCATATGGAAACCTTATACTATCCAGGTAGGGTGTTACATGTCATGTTTTTATGGTGAAAAGATCCATTTATGATGCATTTCCCGACCTTTGTCCTGGGAAAGGACAGCCCTTTACTCCCAGGCTCGCCACCGTGCCACCATGAGGAATTTTCGGCCCGGCAAAAGCTTCCTATCATTTCTTCAAACAAAAGATGAGGGTCCTCAACGCCAGATCTGAATGCCAGATGGAATTCCGTATCCTTCCAAGTCCAAGACCCTGTTTTTAATAGTTGACCTGGCTTTAAGTAGGGTAACATCCTTAAAGTAAAACCAAATCATATGACATCAATAGCTTAGTAGGGATATTTATATAAGAGTCCGGACGAATCCGGAGACCCAACAACTGACTTTTTCGGACCCAGGAAACGGTGGACCCTCGGTAGAAATTGGGCAAACAATATGCAAACCAATACCCAGACACTCCATGTATGGCATATATGCCTACATTGACCCCCCAAACCACCCCAATGTAGGCATATATGGCATACGTGGAGTGTTTGGGATAGATGATATAACCCGAAAAACAATATGAAACACACAATTAATGCAAACAATATATCCCAGACACTCCATGGGACTGCCATATATGTTGATCAGTTGGGGTGGTTATGGGAGTCAATGTCGACGTCAGTCCTATGGCAGTCCCATTAATTAGTCGTGTCTGGGCATGTGAAATACAAACAAGCAATTAATTTTCAACGAAACAGAACGACCTGTCGGTTCTACTTGTCTGGTCTGGCGGTTCTACGAACCCGTTTTGTTCCTTTTGGACTTCGCAGAAACCACCGACGGCCGGTTTCGCTCGGTGTCGCTTGGCGCCGCACCGTGCCCCTCCACCCGGTCAGTCGAGGCAATGAGCTTCATTCCTGGACGTGAAAATGCGGATCGATTGCTGAGCTTTGTGGGAGAGTTGAGAGAAATACGCAAGTGCCACCTGGAAAATCCATGGATTCTATGGTTTCTATTTTTGTTTGGTGAAGTTGAGTGCATCAGATATGATCAGATCCATAAATCCAAGAAGTCTTTTTGGGCCCTTATGGATTAGATCGTCACATCATGCTGAACCTCAGACGCTCGAGGGACCAGCGGCCCAAGGTCCAAACATGACGGGCTGTGATGCGGCACCACGCTTCTGCCTTGGCACCTTCATGCTGCCGCTGGGCAATTTGCAGTTTGTTTATTCGGTGTTTAAACGATGGGACCTTTGATGTAAGTTGGTATCCCCTGATCCCGTATTGTTCTGAAAATTTAGTGAGTCCGAGTGTATAGTAGTTTTATCCCATGATCTATTTGTTTGCTTCAACCCTGGACACGGTTCCTCGTGCCATGGCAGGCAACGCATCATGAAGCAGATTGGGCTCTACTACATCCAGGGCCTAGAAGAGACACACCATCCAATCCGTGAGGAGATGTAATCATGTACGTAGTATGATGGTAGTCAAGGTACTTCATCAATGATCATGAAGGACCGCCGGTAGGCTCAGAGCCGCTCGACTGTCGAGCTTTCATTGGATGTGCTGGACATGGTGACAGGAAGTCGAAGGGAGTGGTTCCCTCCTCCTGCAGGGCCGACCATGGCCTTTCCAAAAGCCCGCGATCGGACGGTCGGACTGTCGATCGGGCGGACTGTCGATCGCTTGAAAGCGAAAGAACGCGCGCACCTTGGCCCCAGACCTGGCTTGACTTATGGTCCTTGCACTGAGAGGACGGTTGAGAGGACAGTGAATGTGTTGTTTCAGACGCAAGCACTACCGCCGGCGACTGCCGCAGCATTGGCTAAAGTTGGTATCATAGATTTCGAGGTCCGAGTTGCAAGGCACAGCGAACGGCCCATGGAGTTGACCATTGTGAAGTGGGTTGCGGATGATGTGCGCAAGACCTGGGCTGCAGGCGCTGAACTGTCATAGAAACCCATGGACCATCCAATTCGTCAGAAAACCATCGCCAATTCGTCCTCAACACGTGGAAATCAAGTGGAATCCACCAGGACCCTCTAAGGGGTGCCCTGTCTGGAAGCCTTTTTCGGTCGTGTGGGGTAGTCCAGCCAGCACACCCCGAGGGTCGGAGGGTCCAGGCCAGAATTGACGCCATGTGTTGCCAAACATGTCCAACGCCAGATGCCTGGGTCATCCCTGGGTCCCCTGAGGCGCCGTACAACATGGCTCCGTTCAGGCTGCTCAGGCGCGTCGAGCAGGGGCAGGGACATCGGTGGTCCGACGGTGCCAAGGTCTGACTTTGTACGCTCCTAATAGGGACCTCCCAGAAAGTGGTCGCACTTACGGAACGAGTCGGTGGCAACTTACGGATGAAGAGCTGCGCATCATCAATCTTCGGAGAACTTGGTTTGCACATCATCATGAGAAGCGGTTTGTTTACCATATTGTTATAATGAGTGATTTGGTTTTGTGTAAAAATACCTCAGCAAAAACGAGGCTTCCTCTTCGGTCTTCGGTCTGGTACCAGTGAATCAAGGGTGGGCCACCGGGTTCTCAGAGGTGTTCCCTCCGCCGAACAGGTTCCCCAGGTGCCGCCAGCATCGAATCAGTTCAACCTGACGTCACCATCGGTGGAAGTGTCAGATGAGGATGACATGGAGATGCAGCTTGGATGACCCTGCGACCCTGCCATGTTTGTCCAGGCCCCGCCCTGGTTTCGAGACCCACATGGAACCTGAGTTCACCACGTCGCATTGTAGAGGGATATACCAAATATGTCTTCCAAGGTCTTCCAAGGTCTTCCATGTTCAGCTTCGGTCTCTTCCCGGGTGTATCCTACCGTATTGAAGTCTACACTTTGGTCCCGTTCTTCCGACGTGTCATGAAACAGTCATAGTCCGTCGCAAGATCCGCGGCATCGAAGCGTCGATCCGGGCAATTCGGCCGACGTTGAGAACTTGGGAACTCGATCGGGGGCGTGGGGTCGAGCGTTGAGCGAGCGTTCTCGAAAGGCGATCGTTGGGCTGGCTGACCAAAGACTAACATTCCTGGCACTTCCTGTCTGGGTGCCCTGTCTGGAGGCCTATAAGTAGGGAAGCTAGACCTAGTCTATTCAGAAGCCATTGAGCCATTGAGCCACCCAATGGAGGCCTATATGTAGGGAAGCTAAGGTAGTCTATTGGACACTCATAAGCAATTGAGCCATATTGAGCCTGGTTTTCTGGTTGTTTTGCATGTTTTCCGGTTCATTTCTTGGGATCGGTCGCAAGCTGGTGTGTTTCTTGGCGATTCGCCGACGCCTCCAAGGCTTCCGGAGGACTACGCCACTTGGTCGTGTTGAGCGGGGGGGTTCGTGGCCCGCTTGTGCTGCGGTGCAAGCAAAAGAGACGTGGGTGTCACATATGAAAAGAGAGAGAGAGAGAGTGTGAGGGACACACCCCCAAACTCCAACCATCCTGGAATAGATAGAATATGATAGAATATGAACCAATTTGAAAAAAAAAAACATGACCAGTTATGTGTTTTATGTTTATGTTTTGTTTTTCCAAACGCCATTCATACTCCATGATGACTTACATCATCAAAGGCCCGCACTTTGGGGTTCTCCTTCGTTGTAGCAGGGCCGAAATCGACGAAAGCGAGACACTGGGCTGTCCAGCCGTCGAACGTCGGCCGTTCAGTCTCCGGTTCGCCCGCCCCACGGGGCGACCTGCGAAGGGCAGGGGCGACTTGCGAGGGTTCGGGGCGAGACGCAGAGGGTGTGACGCTCTCAGGTGCTTCTCCTGGAACGTACTCCTATTTGGGAACTTCCAGATGATGACGACTTGGAAGCTGAGGAGTGCGGGCGGGCGGGCGGGCGACCGGATGCCTTCCTTTCATCTCTTTTCCTAGCTCTTTTTCCTGCTCTACTCCCTGAAAGAATCATGGGCCGGTGGCATAGCCGAATCCAAAGACCAAAGACCAAATGCTGGTCCTGGTGGTCTTTCCGCTCTCCGCGAAACATCACGACACCATGGATTCTTTCATACCCAGACACGACCCGTCTGGGACTGCCATATACGCCGATCAATTGACCCCCCTGGCACCACCACCCCATTAGGCAGTCCTACGGCAGTCCCATCGATCGGTCGTGTCTGGGATATTGGTTCTTCCAACCCACCTAGCCTTCGCCCGATCGCTCCCCTTTCGGGTACCACCCCGGGTACGGGTCTCCATCGGACACGTCGTTCCCAAGGAGACTGAAAGTGGGCACAAGAAGATGCGCATGGACTCGTTCCGCTCCCGGAACTCAGTCAAGTGGTGTCAACGAGTAGTTGTAACTGAGAACTGAGCCATGGATTGACGCTAATGATATCCATTCTTTATTGTTTCTTAAAATATGCGATTGATGTATCCATGCCGAAATGTAGTTGTGGAGATGTTGATTGTTCTTGGTTTACCCGGGACATTTCCATGGAGAAAAACATGCAGAATGGCTCCGTTTCGCCAAGGCCATCTTCAGCTTCAACCGCAGCCACCAGCCCTGCGGCGTCGCTTGGCCGCCAACTTGGCAGACGCTCATATGATGGGAATAGACATCGGGGCAGACGCCATGTGTAGGTGCAACATTGTGTTGTCTCATTGAGTCAATATATTAACATATCAGATTCTCATAATAATTCAATATATAACTATCATATGACGCAGACACCATTTGACTGCCATGCCGATCAGGCCAGGGGTGGTTGACTGGGGGTCTGGCTTGATTGGCAGTCCGTCCTGGCAGTCCCAGGTCCAGGTCGTGTCTATAGGTGATATGATTTGTAGGTATCTTGAAATAGCTCGTCAAGTCGTCATGTCTGTAGCTCCTTCGATCCCCCTTTTTTACGGCAGAAGTGACTGGCGGCTTCGCCATGACGGCCGAGGAGTTCTCCCATCTGCTATGAATCAATACCAACACCCTCCAAGGAGTCTCCAATGGAATACCCTACATTACGTCACTCCGTACGCGAATCTCCGGACATTCCTTTGAAGCTCCAGATTCTGCTGATTGAGCAGAAATTTTCAGAAGTATTTCCAGCACAGAAAGGGTGTAGACTCTAGACCGCTGACGATGCATGTTCCTTCCAATAACCACACAAACTGGGTGGTGCTGGTTGGTAATAGACATTTAATCCAACAGCTATGACATTGATAGCAAGCTTCTGACAGATGTGGAAGAGTATCGGTCACCAGCGCGCCTACTCACCCAGCCAAAAGTGCTGTGATTCAAGAGCTCCAAAATCCAGCTCTTGCGTCATCTCTTTGGCATGAGAAAAGACCACAGACAACAGTGAGAAGAAAAGAAACACACGTCTCAGACACAGTTCAGTACATTTTAGCAAAAAGCGGTCGCATCCGTCGCATCGTGCATTTGTGAGATTTGTTTTTTGTGAAAAGACTTGACATGCTTCGAGCGAATCCACAAGGCCCAGTTCGCCTTGCATCTTGCCCTCGCCGCACGAGCCGGAGACTTGACGAGACGTAATGATCAGAGGCACGACGAGACGAGACGAGCGATGGCCCTAGGCTTGGGAGAAACATGTAAGATGAGATGTGTGTTCCCCTCCTGGCCTACCTCCATTTGGGTGCTTGGAGTCCAACCTGATGATGTGGGACGTGAGCGGCTCAGGGGTTTCGAGTGCAGCTTTTAAGGCCTTTACATCCGCTGGACTTGCACTTGTTCCGTTGTTTCCTCTCCCACGAGTGCATCTTGTGGTCCACTGTATGATGTGTTCCATGTCATGTTCAGTATTGACATGTATTGACGCATGTTTCCCCATGCCTCAGTTATTTGTTTGGACGCACTGTTTCCTTGGTAACCCCAGTATGACGTCATCATGATATATAATTTACATTCGGGCAACCTTTTTTCACATGAATTTTGTCGCTCACACTGTCATTTTGCATGTATTTGTCCAAGTTTGTCATGCCTAGGAATTCTATGCTGCCATGACAGAAGAGGAGATTCGAGAGAGGCTGGGCGTCGTACCCTGGGCTGCAGTGCACCGGCGGAACCAGGGGCACCCAACCGCGTGAGACGGTTGGTGTCGGAACCAGGGGCACTGCGTTTGGGCACTCACTTAGCTAAGAGGAAAAACGTGTTGTCATGCGGTTTCACCTTCATTCAAGACCAGAGTGTCCATTCCATGCGGATTGGTCATCCCATAATTCCCAAAAACTCAATGTAAATATTATGGTGTATATATGCCTACATTTGGGTTATGTCAACTGTTTATGTAGGCATATATACCGTACATGGAGTGTTTGGGTTTATTCATGATTATTCAGGATTATTCTATAAATATTAAACCCTGCGATGACCTCGTGTCTTTGATGACCTTTCATGCATGTCTTTTCACTTGAGTAAGTGTTGCTTCCTGGAGTTGCAGTAGGTGCTTAGGATATATACACAACATTCACAATTGCATCCCTGTCGCCTGTACCACAGCGAAAGTGGTTGGTGGAGTTGGTGCTTATGGCTCCAATTCCTTTGTTGTTTCTACCGAAAACGGTCGCACAACGAGCCGTCGCACCTCTGGTGGAGACGCTCGCTCCGTGGTGGACCCGCAGTCCGAGGCTGGGTCCAACATTGCCATGGAATGGGAAAGGGAGGACTTATTGGCCACTCTCATGGAGATTGACAAGGCCTTCACCGCACACGTTGTCGAAAAACGATGTGCTCTTTTCTCGGCCGGAAGCGTAGATAGTACGTGTTGCCTTTTTGGGTGTGCGATCGATTTCGCCGATGGGTGGGCTGTGCAGTGTGGTGTTTCTGCAGCGACCGTAAGTGAGTGTCCAAGATTTGGCCTGGTAGGTCATCCCAGAGATGTCCAAGCTAGGTCTTTCAACATGATGCGCCGAAGAATGGAGATGTATAGCGATGTACAGAGTGTTTTGAAGTAATGTGGTGCTGATGTCGGCCATGCTCTCCCTTTGAGCCAGAGCCCTGCCAAGCCCACTCCGAATTGGCTGGAGGCGCAGTCCTGATTTCAATAGGACCAAGTCACAGTCTTTTGCCGCCAGAATTTCGCCCATTTGCTCGCTAAAGGCGATGGGTATTTTTTGGAGACCTCACTTTTTAGAAGGCCAGGTCACCTGGCCTGGCATCTTCAGCGCAGTTTGGAACTTCCGGGCCCTCGAACCTTGGAGATTCTGCACTCAAAATCCAAGTCCACAGGGTTTCGAAAGATTTCGACGACATGTCAGTCCTGCATTTGAGGTGTCCCAGAAGAGAAAGATCCACATGGCGCAACAGGATTCAGACCGGGCTCTTCCCTCCTTGATTCCGAGCTTCAAATGCTCCTCGTTCAGGCGAATGAGGAGGAGCCTTTTCAGGTCTTTCCTGTTTTTCTTTTCGCCACCCCGCGCTGTCGCCACGTGGCGTCCTCCAACGAAAGCAGGTCGCCGCTGTCACCTCGGGTGGTGAAGTTGAGCTCTGACGGCTCCACGAATACGACGTGGCACATCTGGGGGTCCAAGACATCTTTACCAGTGCCATGCTGCACCGAAGCGAACCAAGACAGGTTGAACAGCCCTAAGGTCGCCCATCCCATATGTACCACTACAGAGTCCTAGTTCTGGTCTCTCAACCTCTGAAACCAATGTATGGATGACGATGGCTGCTATAGCTGCTATACGGGATTCTCCCGTCCAGTAAAAGCAGGGGGCATTTTGTTGGTGAACTGGCCGTCGTGAGGCTTAGCCGAACTGCTCAAGCCGAACTGCTCAGCCTGGTTCAGACCAAGGGAAGACTTCGTGTCCGAGGCACCACGAAGGTGATGCTCGTGAAATCCAGAGTCTTTGAACAGGCTGAACAAAAACACTTTTTAGAGATGCTGACATTGAAGCTTTTGGACCCTTTGTCAGTGCACGGAGTGTTCTGTTTGGTTGTTACTGGCGTCCGCTGGGGTTTTGTTCTTAACTAGATGTCAACATACTTCATCCGGATTTGATTTCATGCGTTGCACCACCAACTCTTTGTTTGGACAAGTCCACCACATATATGAGGGGTCACGATTGGATGAAAGGGCAGGAGACTCATCGCACTTATCTCAGCACCAAGCATGTATCGTCGCAGTTCGCCACACCACAACCAACTTTCGGGAAGAACACAACCAACTGCCGGTCCTCGGGGACCGCTGAATCTCCTCTTGGACCAGATGCTGAGTACTCGGGACCGGTTCAAAAAACAAAAACAGACCCTGAAGATCGCGTTTCCTTTGTGTCAGCTGTGGTCCTGTGTCCAAGAAGAATTTCAGCCCGTAGTCGTGACCAAAGTCCCTTGACCTGGGGGTGAATTTGTACATAAATGGCCCGCCCCAAACTGCCCTGCCGCGCAGAGAAGCATCACAACTGTATAGGATGCACAGGACCTTCCCACCCTGCGATTCTTCAGACCTTCCCCTGGCTTCCTGGCCGCACAGAGACGGCAGGAGCAGGACAGGGTCTGATTTCGGTGCCCAAAAAGGCTTGGGGGATCGAGGGATGCTGTTGGGACGAAAGGATTCTGGCTTCGGACGAAGCCCCAGGTTGGTCAGCATTTCTTGACTGGCTTGTAGCAGGTCGACGCTCAAGCTATATGCAAATAACAACCAATTACATCAAATTGCTCTCTTATAATCTCTTATAGATTGATGTTCATTGATGGGTCGGACAGTTGGCTATGTCCAACGTGACAACTGTGTACGAACAAGTCACAGGAGTGTGCAGGTGATTTCGCTGCAAAGTAAGACACGACTTAGAAGCGTGTTGTGTGACGCTTCTGGCTCCAGACGATGGCATAATATATTGGTAGCGGTAGCGTATTTTGATCTATCACATTGCTAGGTGAACTGCTCAATGAATTGTGGCCAGATCTATAGCTTCATGCCTTGGCCCTTTGGGGGTTCTAAAGTAAAGATGTCTAAAGCAAAAAAGAAGTTCGTTTGTATCCATCCATGTCCATCCATTTCCGATGGCAAGTTGAGTTGCCATCCGCAGATGCCAAACGTGGCTGGCTTTCCAACCTCCACAGGCGCAACGAATCCGAACCGTGCATGCCTTGACACCTGAAATCCCGTTCAGCTGTCGGCCTGTGACGAGCCTTCTATCCCTGCTTATCACCGTTAGAACATGTTAGAACCTTCTAAACAGATCCATGTTTGACGGACTTTGATTCTTCCCCTTTGAAGCTTTCTGATCCCCTTTTTTACATTCGCTTTGATCAGATCATGGTACTGAAGCGAGTCAGGGATGCCGAGTCGCTGTGATCGAGAGCTGTGTGGCTCAGTGCTGACCTCGTTGACCTTGTCGTCGGCATTTCCAGGGCTGGAGGCTCCTTCCCAGTTCGGGAGGATGGAGCGGAACCTTTCGGTTTCAGTCCACGATTCGTGGCTGGACGTCAGCTTTTGGAAGAGTCGACCCAAAAGTCCAAAACCCTTCGAAAGCGTCAACTCGTCCTTTGCACAGTCTCAATGTCAGCAGATCCATCCGGAGGTGCTCGCACCTGTCGCACCTGCTGTGGCGCCAGTGAAGTGACGTCATTCGTCATCCCGCGACCCGCTATAGGCTCCCTATAGGCTTTGCCCCTGAAGGCTCTAAGTGACATCCCCCGTACATGAGGCTCTATGAAATGACAATCACTTTCCTCTATGAAATGGGTTTTGGACATCATTCTCTCTTTGGTTCAGAGTTCCAGGACTGGTGCCCCCTTCGCCGAAAAAGGCTCACACGACTGGCAAGATGATTTACGATTCACCAGTGCTTCGAGTCATCCGAAGAAGAGCTAGGACGGATTGAAAAAGAGACGTCGAGGCATCCCCGTTTTCGATCGTATCCTTTTTGGAACTTGCAACCGGACCGTTGCAGATGTCTAACTGTAGCTCTATGAGGTACTTTAGCATCACCTACTACTTGTGATCCTGCCTTCTCGTGATGGGGCAAAGGCTACTACTATGGCATGCCGGCCTCCATTTGTTTGGCCTCTTTCTTGGCTCAGTG